TGCTGCTGACCAACTGCTCATTGCCCCTGCCAACTGCCCCCTGCAGTACCCCGTGCAGGGTGTGGAGGTACAGCCCCTCAGGAGCATCTTGGTGCCAGGTGGGGAGAAGCCACCGTGGGAGTGGCCGAGCCTGGGCCTGGGCCTGGGTGGGGAAGGATGCGGGAAGATTGGAATGCGAGGCACTGGTCTTCGGGGGTCTTCGGATGCAAGAGGGCTTGAGGTCAGCAGGGGGGTCATGAGGCGGGAGATGGGACCGAAGGGACTCTTAGTTGCCAGGAACTGCAGAAGACTGTACCTAGGGGAGTTTGGAGAAAAGAATCTATTCTTTGCAGTCTGACCAAGGGTAGGGCGGGCCATCGAAGAGCTACTGCTTGGATGGGAAGGAGTTAAACAGTTACTCTAGGCTACTTCAGCCGTGGTGCCCAGCCGCCTCAACAAGAGGAAGGGGGTGAGGAGTTCTCTGTGTTGTGAAAAAAAGGAAGAGAAAGTGAGCAAAACTGTGTGATTCTCATCCCCTTCCTTCCTCCCAGGGCTGAGCCTGCATGCTGCTTCTGGTCAGGAGGTATATCAGGTGAGAAGAAACAGGGGGGTGGGGAGGCCAAGTGAGCATCAAGGATGCTGGGAGGGTCCTAGCTGGTTTGGCTCAGTGGACAGAGCGTCGGCCTGTGGACCAAAGGGTCCTGGGTTTGATTCTGGTCGAGGGCACATGCTTGGGTTGTAGGCTCGATCCCCAGTAGGGGGCGTGCAGGAGGCAGCCAATCAGTGATTCTAATCACTGATGTTTCTATCTCTCCCTCTCCCTCCCTCTCTGAAATCAATAAAAATGTACATATTTTTTTAAAAGGATGCTGGAAGGGAAACAGAGCTGCCAAAGGAGGGCTGGGGGAATCAGGGCAGCGAGAGGTCGGTCTGGGGGCTGACGCTGCACTGTCAATACCTTCTCCCAGGTGAACCTGACGGCCTCCTTGGGCACATGGGACGTGGCAGGGGAAGTGACTGGAGTGACTCTCACGGGGGAGGGGCAGCCAAATCTCACCCTCATCAGCTCAGGACTGGACCAACTCAATCGGCAGCTGCAACTGGTCACTTACAGCAGCCGAAGCTACCAGGCAAACACAGCAGACACAGGTGCGAGGCGCTGGGTGGAGGCAGGGGCAGTCTGGGTGAGCAGAGAGAACCCAGAAAGGCTGGGTCGGGCAAACGGCAGAGGGTGTGGGAGATATTCGGGCAATGTCCAGACCTGCCTGGCCACACAATGGCCATTTCATCTGGGCCAGCGGGGCCAAGGAGGGAGAGAAGAGGCCTTTGTTTGTCTGGGGCCAGAGCAGGCCAGAGGGAAATCTGAGCTTTGGGTGTGTCCCCTCCTCAGGCCAACCATGGGGGCCCGGGAAGTGTCCTGCCCCAGGAACCAGAAGACAAACTCTCTTCCCAGCCCACCGCCTCCTTCAGGGCAAAGGGCTTTATCTCCCACAGCTCCCACGTCAAGCAAAAGGGACCTACCCTCCAAGGCTTGCTACACCAAACCTGCTCCCACTGAGGACCTTTGCCCCTGCTGTTCCCTCTGCCTAGAATGTTCTTCCCCCAGATTTTTGCATGGCTGGCTCCTTCTTGTCATCTGGATCTCAGCTCAAATGTCTCCTCTTCACTATCACATTACTTGCCTTATTTTCTATTCAATATTTACCAGTACCTGGACTTTTCTTATTTACTTACCTTGAAACCAGACCAGGTTTCTATCCCAGCTTTGTTGCTTAAACCGTTGTCTGAACGTGGCAGATTATTCAATTCCTCAGTGCCTTCTTTTTCTGTAGTAGGAATCTATCTCATATTGTGAAGATTAAACAAGTCCCTGTTTAAAATTACCACTTAAGGTAATTTAAAAAGGGCCTGGCCCCTAGTAAATGCTCAATTAAGGTTAGCTTTTAAATTAAATGCTTTCTCATCTCACTCCCACCCATTAGAATGTAAGTTCCCTGGGGGTAAGAGCATTGCCTTCTTGTCCACCAGGGCTTAGAAAGGTGATACACAGAATGAGCACTTAAATATTTATTTACTAAAAATAGAATGCTGCTCCACATTTCACGTCCTTTCTTCCCAGTCCGGTTCTCCACCGAGGGACATGAGGCGGCCTTCACCATTCACATAAGACATCTCCCTAACCCCCGGCTGTACCCACCTGGGTCTCCACCACAGGGAGGTGAGGCTGGTGCCTGCAGGGGCATGGGTGCAGCCCCGTGGGGAACAAGTTGGGCAGAGGGCTGCCTGGGAGGAGATGTCTTCTTGCTCCTCACTATCCACCTAACTCCACTGCACCTAATTCTGCCCCCTCCTCCCAGCCCAGTACAACATTAGCGCTCTGGTCACCATCGCCACCAAGACCTTCCTCCGCTATGATCGGCTGCGGGCACTCATCGCCAGCATCCGCCGCTTCTACCCGACCGTCACAGTGATCATCGCCGACGACAGCGACAAGCCAGAGATCATCAGCGGTCCCCACATCGAGCACTATCTCATGCCTTTTGGCAAGGTGCGCCGGGAGCCGGACTGAGCCCAGCGCCCCGGGGCGCCGGGAGGGCGCGCACGCAGTCTCCAGAGTAATGAGTGGCTCCCGGATTATCTCCTAGAACCGCGGGGACGCCTCTTAACCCGGAGGCTTCCCGGAATGTCAGCCAGCTCGGTGAAAGCAGAAAGCATGTAATCATGTCTACTTCATTCGCGCTGCATTCTTGGAATGGCGCTTAGCACCTAGGGGGTCAGTAGTTGAATAAATGCACTCAGGAACTAAATGCATTCCAAGACCACCCTCCCCCCCCCAACACTGACTCAGAACCTCTGACAATGGGAAACTGTATTTTTTTATTTTTATTTTTTTACCTAGCTCCCCGCAAGCTACAAGAACTGCAAGTGTGGAGAGGGGTACAGGCTGTTTAGAGTGATCCAGAGTGGAAAGGAAAGGTGGCAAAGAGGTACGTCCTAACCACGGCTTCGCCAACCATACGTACCCTTCCCAGGGCTGGTTCGCAGGCCGGAACCTGGCCGTGTCCCAAGTGACCACCAAGTACGTGCTGTGGGTGGACGACGACTTTATCTTCACGGCGCGGACGCAGCTGGAGAGGCTGGTGGATGTGCTGGAGCGAACGCCGTTGGACCTGGTAGGGGAGGGGCCGCAGGGTGTGGGGGTGGAGCCAGGGGGCTCCCAGGGGGTTCAAACCGCGGCTGGAGAGCAGCCAGCCCTTAGGACCAGAGAGGACGAAGAAGCGGAGCCTGGGGTGTATCTAGGCCCCGAAGGGATAGAATTGAAAGGACAGGGCAGCCGAAACTGGTTTGGCTCAGTGGATAGAGCGTCGGCCTGCGGGCTGAAGGGTTCTGGGTTCGGTTCCGGTCAAAGACATGTACCTTGGTTGCGGGCACATCCCCGGTGGGGAGTGTGCAGGAGGCATCTGATCGATGATTCTCTCTCATCGATGTTTCTAACTCTCTATCCCTCTCTCCTCTTCTCTGTAAAAAATCAATAAAATATATTGAAAGAAAGGAAGGAAGGAAGGAAGGAAGGAAGGAAGGAAGGAAGGAAGGAAGGACGGACAGGGAGGGGTTGGCGGGAGCACAGACCTACCCCCTCCCAGTCCCTCCCCTCCTGAAGCCACCCTCCCATTCCCCGCAGGTGGGGGGCGCTGTGCGCGAGATCTCGGGCTTTGCCACCACCTACCGGCAGCGGCTGAGCGTAGAGCCGGGCGCGCCGGGCCGCGGGAACTGCTTCCGGCAAAAGCAGGGCTTTCACCACGAGCTCAGCGGCTTCCCGGGCTGCGTGGTCACGGACGGCGTGGTCAACTTCTTCCTGGCGCGCACCGACAAAGTGCGGGAGGTCGGCTTCGACCCGCGCCTCAACCGGGTGGCGCACTTGGGTGAGTGGCGCCCTCTCCTGGCAGGTCCCCTTGCGGCAAGGGCGCCGCCGGGGAGCCCAGGGCTGCCATCCGGCTCCCCTAGAGCGGTTCTTCTAAGTTTTACCAAGAGAAAGAGCTTCCCCCTCCTGGCCTGCACACACGTAAACCTTCTCAGCTGCTGGGTCCACCTTGAACTTCCCTACCACCTCTACCCCACTCCCAGCCCCTTCCCCTGGCCCTTAGGAACGGACCCTCCACATACCCCAAATCTCAGTTCTCCCTGAGGGCTGGCCTTCTGCACTCTCAAGACCCTTCATTGTGTACCCCCTTTCCCCCACCCCCAGAATTCTTCCTGGATGGGCTTGGCTCCCTTCGGGTGGGATCCTGCTCAGACGTCGTGGTGGATCACGCGTCCAAAGTGAAGCTGCCTTGGACATCCAGGGATCCTGGGGCAGAGACCTATGCCCAGTACCGTTACCCAGGATCACTGGACGCAAGTCACGTGGCCAGACAACGCCTGCTCTTCTTCAAACACCGACTGCAGTGCATGACTTCGGAGTGACGGCCGCTCAGGGCCTTCCAACTGTCAGGCTGGGCCTGCCTTCTTGTCCCTGCCAGAAATTTCTAGCAAACCCCCCTACCCCGTGACCACTCCACGGACTGTCCCCAACCCCCTTCAGAACCTGATCCCAAATGCGGGCTGGTCCTGGTGACACTCCCCCTTCCCGTGAGTGCCCCAGGGTGTGATGGAGCCATAACTCTCCCCACAGCCAGTGCCAAGTCCTCCCTCCACCCCGTCATGGAGGCGGGGCGTCGCTTTCCAAGTGCCAAAGAGCCCAAAGGACTCTGAGACCCTCAAGCGGAACCACTGGTCTCCCGGTGACTGAGTGGGTGGGGAAGGCCCCACCATGTACTCCCAGGGCTGTGCCCCCCTCCCCCACCTCTGGATCCAGGGCTGTGCCCCCGGTGCAGCCCCAACCCCATGGAGAGACCTGGTGATGGGAGCCGGGGTGAGGGCTCATGAACACACAGGTGAACGCATCCTTTGTTGTGTCTCTGCGACGCTGTGGGCGTGGGGAAGGAGCGCCAGGGGTGGCGTGCGGACACCCAGGCTCACTCCATGAATCCCAGAGGCTCTCAGCTTTATTTCATTAGTTACATCAAGTAAGGGGGCTTAAGGGCCAAGGCCCTCGCACGCATATTGTTGGGCCTTCCATACTCCAAGTGGCCCGGTCAGAGCCATACTGTGCAAGTCTTCGGACCCGTGAGCTCCTGGAAAAGGGAGGGCACGTGTCAGGAATAGGTGAAGTGCGCCCCCCTTCCTCATCCGGGACTTGGCAGTCTGAGGGGCACACCAACACCTCTGGGACCTTGAGTTACTCGCTCTTCACCCATAGCTAGGCCCATTCTCTCTGGCTTTCTCTCTCTTTTTTTAAAATCCTCAACCCAAAATACATTTATTTATTAGAGAGAGGAGGGGGGGAGAAATAGACATGGATGTGAGAGAGAAACATCCATCAAATGCCTCCTGTAAGCGCCCTGATTGGGGACTGGACCCAGAATATAGGTATGTGTTCTGAACAGAAATCAAACCCGCAAATTTATTATTATTATCATTATTATTATTATTATTATTATTATTATTAATATATAGGAAGACGCTCCAACCAACTGAGCCACTCAAACAGGGTTCCCTGCCTTAATCTTGTTAAATTAACTAATCATTTCATCCCCATCCCTCCCTTCATCTTCCTCCTCAGCCCCCTCCTTAAGCCCCTCTGCCTGGATCTTCAGCCACTGACTCACCCCTCTCTACAGCCCAGCACCTCCTGGCTTCCACCCCTTTGCTGCTGTCCCCTCACCAGTCTCTCCAGGGCATGAGCAGCTGCATCCTGGACACTCACAAACAGCTGCTCCGGGGTCACTCTGTCCAGGAGTCCCGCCTGGGTCAGGGTCCTGAGCACTGAGGCTGTGTGGAAAGGGGGTCAGGCCCTAAGTCCACACTGTCCTCTTCTCTCCCCCAAGGGCCCGGCCATTCCCCGTCTCCAGTTCCCTCCCTACTCCACACCTCACCATTACACTGAGCCAGGAGAAGGTGGATCCCAGCATCTTGGCATCTGCTGGCCAGCTGCAGAGGTGGGGCAGTGGGTTACACCCTACACCAGAGAGTATGCCCGGGGTGATAAGGGGAGTGTCTCCTTAGCCCCCCTCTTCCTCACCTGCACCACTTCTCTGGCCCCAGCAGCGTCGGCGAAGGTGACACCACTGCAGTCTAGGACCACCACTCTGACAGGCTCAGCAACTAGGAGGAGAGAAGGCAGAGTACCCAGGTGCTCCCAGGGATTATTCCCAAACCTTCCTCCTGTCATCCCCTCTCACCTGCAGCAGGGGGGCCGCCTGTCCGTGGAGTCTCCTGTGAGTAGGAAAGAGCGGTCACCACGTGTGAGGCACAAGCATGACCGTGCACACCTGAGCACAAGGATCCCCTCAGAAACCCACCTGCCTCCCCCTCACAGAGAATCCACACTCCCCTCTGACCAAGTCCCTCACCTTGCCTCTGCCAAGCCCCAGGTGCCCCTCTAGGTGGTGCCGAAACTGCCCCCGGGTCCCAAAGTAGAGAGGTGCTGGGTAGCTCAGGATGCACAGCCCTGGGACCTGGAGGAGCTGAGGGGTCAGAGGGTCAGAGGAACATCCAGGTGGGTTGTCCCGCCCCCTTGGGCTGTAGCCCGCCCACCTTGTGGCTCTCTCTGAGCGGCCGGTAGAGCTCCGTCCCCTCAGCTAGTCCAAGGGCCACGCACTGCACCCTAAGCAGGAAGCTGGGGTCAGACTCCCGGCCCGGCCCGGCTGAGGAGGCACCCCAAGCCCTCTGTTCTCGCCCCTCCCTTCATCTTGGCTCCTCTCATCTCTACTCCCACCTCTGGGTGCGGCAGACCACAGTCATCATGGAGAAGACCACCCCAACGGCCAGGCCCAGGTCCACGCTCAGGGCCACGACGGACACCCACGTCACCATCCACACCACCTGCAGGACAGAGATGGGCGTGAAGTGCCCAGGAGAAGGGCCAGGCCATCACCGCTAAGGAAAAGGGTCCAGGGGCAGTGGCTGCCAGGGCAAGTGAAGGGGAGGGATGGCTCAGGAGAAGGCAGAAAGGAAGACAGAAGGAAGGGATGGAATTGACCCAACGATGGATACACACCAAACACACTGACCCCAGACCTTGCACCCCCGGGGGAGTTACAAATATTCAGGTCTGAGGAGGTTCAAACCCCGGAGGAAAGGGATGAAGAGGTATGCATGTTACAGAACTTGGGAACTAGGGGAGAGGCTGGGGATGCTGGGGAAGTGGGAGAGGGCACTGCTGCTGTTTCTCACAAAATCCATGCGGCTGATGCGCCATAGCTGTGGAAGTTCCTGCATCTGGAAGAACATCTGGCGCATGCTGGAGATGTTGATGCAGGCCAGGACAGCCTTGGGGCAGAGGAAAGGAACTAACCACCCCAGCACTCTGGAACAGAGCCACCCCTCCAGGTCACCGCCATGCCGCCGCGGCTCCTTACCTTGGGCAGGTAGTAGAAGAAGGGTCCCAGCCACAGCAGCACTGACAGGACAACGGCGCAGGAGAAGAGGCCTGCCAGCTAAAGGGAGCGGTCAATGGAAGCAAAAAAGGAAGGGACCCTCACCCACCTCATGTGGTCTCCCTGCCTACTGGACCTCATCTTCCTTAAAAGTCTCTGTCCCCCCACGTCCCTTTCTACACAGATATCCCTCACTCTTCATGAGCTTCTTGATACTCTGCTGTTTACACCTACCTTTCCCTTTCCCCCAATTAAACGCCTCATTCACTAGTCTCCCCTAGATGTAGTTCGACTTTTCTATTTCTGTAACCCACCTCCGTCTTAAAGGCCGCAGTGGGATTACCCTAAAAGCAGGCTGACCACATGCTTAGGCCACCAACTGAGTAACAGAAACCAAAAATATGAGGGGAACATTTGCTATGTGATATTTCTTTTCAAGTGAAAATGTCCTTCCTGGAAAAAAAAAAAAAAAGAGAATTTTGCCTCAAATTTATTTTACAATTTAGTAATGTTTTTACTTTGAACTATTGAGATACATATGGGGCACCATAAACTTTGTGAGTGCTTACAGTAAAGGTCTTAATGGAACTTAGTTTTTTCTTTCTCTCCAACCTAGATAATCCCCTCCCCTCCCTCACTGAGTCCCATCCTCCATTATATAGCTGCCACCTGTTTCTCCACCACCTGGACCTGGGCGCCCCCACCTTCCGCTCTCCCTTCCTCCCCATTCAAGGACACACTCTTACCTGGGTGTTCCCACCAGCATCCACTAGCAGGCTGGTGGTGGCCAATGTGGCCGAGTTGGGAAAGCAAGAGAACAGCGAGGAGATGAGGTTGGAGGCCCCATGAGCCAGGAGTTCCTGGGGTGTACAGCGAGAGGAAGAGAGAGACAGCGGCATGGGAGGTGACATTAGGGAGCTGTCTCCTGAGGGAGGTTGGAGAACTCAGTCGGAACCACACCTGGTTGGCGTCAATAGTGTAGCTGTACTTGTCTGCGTAGATGGAGGCCAGGGAGGCGGACACAGCAAAGGTAACCAGCGCGATGGGCAGCGAGTCACCCAGAATCCTCGGCAGCTCGGACAGGTTGGGGAGGAGGGGCTGGGGGAATCTGGAGAGAGAGGGGTCCAAGGTAAAGATGAGTTGGGTTTACCAGGGTTTATAGGGAAGACAGAGACCAAAAGGGTGGGGCAGGACAAAAGGAGGCATTGGGTGTGAGAGGAGCACGCTGGTGCTCTTCTGTTCTCTTACCCTCCAGGCAGCAGCCCCACAATCTGGACATCATATCTGGTGTCCAGGGACGAGGCGAAGCAGAGCGCAGAGGCCAGAAGCACCTGGGGAAGAGCGGGCGTTAGGGCGTGGGGGGGAATGGGTCCCCTGGCAGAGGCTACAGGGCCCAACGTGAGAGAGGACCAGAATGCAGGACTCGGTGGTTGCCCGAGCCTGGCCACTGGGGGAGCTTGGGTGTGTTTGGGATGGCTGCCCCGAAAACTAATTTAGCGTGAAGGAGAGGGGGGTGAAAAGAGGAGTGGTGCCTCTCTGTGGCTATGGAGAGAGATGGATGGCAGGGAAGTGTGTGTGTGTGTGTGGGGGGGGGTGTCCTATGAGGGAGGCATGTGGATATTAGGAGGCAAAGCCGAGCCATTCTAAGCGGAGAAGTTTGGTTATGCCTGTGGATGCATAGTCTATCTTTGGAAATGTTAACATTTATTTACTTGGAAAGAGAAACCAGTTTGGCTCAGCAGGTAGAGCATAGGCCTGCGGACTGAAAGGTCCCAGGTTTGATTCCCGTCAAGGGCATGTACCTTGGTTGCAGGCACGTGTGCAGGAGGCAGCTGATTGATGTTTCTCTCTATCCCCCTCCCTTCCTCTCTGTAAAAAAATCAATACACACACACACACACACACACACACACATATATATATTTTTTTTTATTTTTTATTTTTTAGAGAAACATAGGTAGGTGTGGAAAGGGAAAGGGAGTTACAGTGAAGGACCCAGCAAGGAGCAAGATGGAAATAGAGGAAGAAGGCGCCCTAAGAGCAGTGGAGGGAACTGGGCGAGAGGAGAGGAAATGCGTGTGTGTGTGTGTGTGTGTGTGTGTGTGTGTGTGTAGGGGTGGTGGTGAGGGGTAATGGAGAGTTCAAGTGGGAAGAAGCCTAGCAAAGGACTTGTGTAAGCAGGCCCTCTAGGCTGTGGCCTCTCCGCACTCCGTTAGGGGGCGGCCGCGGCCAGTCCCTGTAGGATGGACTGGGTTTGTGAGGCACAAGGGGCCGGTACCCAGGAGCCATCCTCACCATGACGATCTCCCCCGGGATCGGGGTGGGCAGCCTGTCTCGGAACCTCACGTTCAATTCCTTGACGGGCACGAGCAGCGCCAGGCTGAGTGCGGAGATGGTCAGCTCGGCCGGGCTGCTCTGGGGCAGCGCGGTCAGCACAGCGGCCAGCGTCTGCGGGCGGCGGAGAGCAGAGGGCCCCGAGCTGGGGGCGACTGTCCCGGCGGGCCCACCAGACCCGGGCCGGGCTCTCCCGGCTCCCATCGGGGCTCCCGCCTCCACGGGGACCCTCCTTCAGCCTCTGGGTCAACCTTTCTTCCTCCCCGCCCCGTTACACGAGTCTCTCCACTCGTCCTTCCTTCTTCCCTTTTCCGGGTCCCTCCTCTGGGGCTGCTAGCGGCCCCTGGCCCGTTCCCTCCCGTCCCCGCCCACCTTGAAGAGGGCGAAGCAGCCGATCTGGCGCGGGAGGCGCAGCCCCACGAGGCTGGGCAGCTGGGACACCAGCACGTGCAGCGCCGCCCCGCTGGTCAGCGCTTTGACCACCGGCTCGGACAGCAAGGTGGACAGGACGCCGAGCTGCAGCGCGAACATCCCCAGCTGCGGGGGGAGATGGCCGGTCACCGCCGGAGAAGGAGCGCCCGGATGGAGCGCGGGGTGCCTGCACCTCTGACCCGCACGGGCGCGGGCGACCTGCCCCCCTTCCCACCCCCGGATCAGTTACCCCGGGCCCCCAGCGTGGACACCCCCTCGCCCCCAGGCTCTTCCCTCACCATCAGCGCCCCGCTCCCAAAGGCCAAGGCCGCAGCTGCCCCGACCCGCTGGGCATCCAGCTGTTCCCTCTCGATGGCGCTCAGGTTCCCCCCGAGCGGCTCGGGCACCAGCCGCTCCACGGCGGAGCCCGTCATGAGGCTGAGGACGGCGAACGTTCCTAGGGCCGCGGGACAAACGCAGAAATAACCAGCGGGGCCGCCTGGGGGCGCTGCGACAGCCCAGGCTCTGTGTTTTCGGCCCAGGCGGCGGGGCCGGGGCACCTCGCTCCCTAGAAGCTGAGCCCTCCCTAAAAGCTGAGCCCGGAACCAGGGAGGTTAGGAGAGGGCAATAACGGGAGAAAACTGCCGACTGCACCACCAGCCCCTCCTGCAATCGCCGAGCATTGCGTGCTCCTCGGGGTGACCGCACATCTCTTCTCCCGTCTTCCAAATCCCAGAAAATTAAACCCAATGTCACGAGGAGGGAAAAGTCTGAGTAAATTCCCACCTCTTTGCACCCCCAATAAGCATTGCCGAGGTCAGAGGGTCATGGCAGGGGAACGGTGGTGCGTTGGGGGATGAGAGCTAGGAAGCTTACAAGAACGGAAGCCTCAAACCCTCTGCCCATTCTCACCCCACAGCGGCACTGGGTCACTCACCTGTGGACAGGTGTCTTCCAGTGCCCAACAAGGTGTAGATGAGGATGGGAAAGAAAGACGTGTAGAGGCCAAACACAGGGGGCACGGAGGTCAAGAGGGCAAAAGCCATGCCTGGAGGGGAGGGTGGAAGGAGGAAGAAAAGACCTGATGGGGTGGAGGGCTCAGAGGGCTTTCCACTCTCAGAGGCTGGCACAGAGGGAACTGAGGGGTTAACGGGCCTGGTGGGGGGTCGCTGGGTGGACAAGGTCACAGATCCATAACCCCAGCGGAGACCCGGGGGGCAGGCGCTGTGCTTCCCTCTTCTCTCCAGTTCACTGAGCCGGAACGAGTCTGAGACTTCTCCAGGGATTGCGCACATGAGGGCAGCTGGGGGTGGGGATCTGATGGAGCTCCACAGTCCTTACCCAGAACTTGTCTCCGAACCCTCAACCACATGGACCCGCCACCTGGCTCCCGAGTCGTCGCCCCCCCCCCCCCCCCCCGCCTCCGTCTCCCCAGCCCTCTGACAGGTTGGTGTTGGGGGGGCCGCTCACCCTGGGGCACGTGCACGATGCCCACGGTCACTCCAGCCACCGCATCCCCAAGCAACCAGGCCCTCCAGCGGTACTCGGGCAGCCAGCGCAGGGGGGGCAGCCGCGCCTGCAGCAGGCGCCACGCCCCCGGCCCGGAGCAGGCGCGGGCCCGCCGCCTCCACCTTCCGCACAGCCCGGACCAGCGGGACTCTGCCAGTGGCTCCTGCGCCTGCTCTGCGCCCCCGAAGAGCTGCTGGAACCGCGCCTGGGTGAGAGGTTCCCTGAGCTTGGCGCCCAGTGGGAACTTGAGGTCGGAGGCCTCTCCTGGGCTGGAGCAGGTCCCGGTGCCCAGGAGCCCACTCATTTTGCCCTTGGCCACCTCCAGCTCCGCCCAGCCTTAAATACCCCTCCACCGGCAGCCTGAGCCCCGCCTCCCTGAAGCAGGGCCCAATCCGGCCCTGGAGGCGCCCTTCTACATGCTGAAGAGCTGCAGCTTTGGGGGGGGGAAGGGGGGAGATCTCTATGTTAGGCGCTTCCTCAGATGTCCTTGGCAAAGTCGCAAGCTGCCAGGGGAGAGGGCTGTGGAAAGGTTTAGGGACCAGAGGGATAAGCCAAAAGGCAAGCACATCCTCAACACCTAACCCCCACTACCTACCACTCCTAAGCCTTCTCACTCTCCACCTGCTCCCTGAGTTCCCTTTGAATCTACTCTTTGGGCCAAGACTGAAGCTGGCTCCTCTAGGTTCATTCCTAGAGCCACTGAGCAAGAGAGTCCAGCGGTTCCGACTCCAGTGAGACGGTCTCCTCTCCCCAGACCCAGAGCCTCTTGGGCTCAGGTTGTCCCCAAGAAAGCGTAAGGCAGTCTGCTGGCCTCTTCAGTTCCACAAACTAGATGGGAAGCAGATATAATATGTCAGACAGGATGACAGAGAATCACCATTCCACATCTTTGCAGGAGAGCCTGAGCCTAAACCCCTAGTTCAGGATCCCAGGAAGAATACTGAACTGATAGGAATTTATTTTTTTTATTTCTTAGAAGCCAAAAAAACCCCCAAACACCATATATTACATACAAGTGCAAGTCACAAAGTAGGCACTCAAATACACATTTGTGGTTATATTAGGTACAAAAGAGTCACCCGTCCACCCACCTCATGTACCCCATGGATCCCTAAAGAGATGCAGAGGTTCTGAGCTCTAGCATCCTATTTGCCCCACCCCCTCCTCCACTCTCAGGAATCCTTAGCACCCCTTCCCATCACCCTCTGGTCCCCAGTCCCTGACCCCAAAGTCCTGGGGGTGGGGAACAGTGAGGGTGGGTCTCTCTTCTTCAATTCCTTCTATTGTTTCCCCTCAGTCTTATCTGCGCTGGGCGTCCTGTCTCCCCCTTAAGAGGCCCCTCCCCCCATTGTCGGCCAGAGGGACCTCAGCCCAGAGGGAGGCTCCAGCTCCTCCTCACCACCCCCACCCTAGCAGTCTATTGTCTGCTGAGGAAGCCCAAGTACACGTGACCAGGCCCAGGGGACAAAGGGACAGTGCCACCCCGATGACCAAGGACCCAGGACAGGCAATCTGGACATGGATCTCTGCACGTCTAGCTTTCTCTGTCCCTGGGGCTGCCCCAGAGTTGGGAGGGGTGAAGACTCCTTTGGCCTCTACAATCTTGGGTCTATGGCTTGAAGAGAAATCCATTCCTGTTCAGTGTGAATATGCCTTATGACTTCCCAGACAGCAAAAATAAGAAGACCCAAGAGACAGAAGAGGCTGTGGACTCCAGCATCCTCTCCACCTTCCCATTCTACCTCAGCTGAACATGGAAGCCTCAGAAGGAAAGGTACATTGGCATTTGGTACTTTAGTGTCTGGATTTGGGGGGAGTGGTGGGCAATCAGATTACACTGGGCTTTCCAGTGGGGTCTAGATCAGAGGCCAAATGGGAAAGAAGGGCTGGGTAAGGTGGAGGATTCATTAAGGATCTAGAGTTTCCTGGGACCCCAAAGTCCCAGGCCTGGACGGAGAGGTAGCATCGTCTTTTATCTTACAGCCTGTGCCCTTCTCCTTTCACCAGACCCCCGCTCAAACTGATTGGAGAGGTCAGCTGATCTCTTCCGTACCACTTCACCCCACTTACCCCCACCGAAGCCTTCCCTTCCCTCTGCCAAGACAGTAGCCTCAGTGATATAACAAAACCTTTATTCTCAGAAAACAGAAAAAACAAAATCAAAACCAATATTTTCTATTTGGCCCTTGCCCCAACCCTCCCACCCACCCACAGATCCTTCTTTTGTGGAGGACCTGTGATGCATGCATAGGGGTGGGAGCTGAAGGAACCTGTGTTCCCGGGACAGAAAGAAGTCTTTTTGAGTTCAGGTACCCTCCTCCAAGCTGACACCACTCCCAGCCTTGCCCACCTCCAGACACACCAAGAGGGAGGGATTCTGGAGCAGTGCCAGAGGATTGCCCTGAAGTTCCTTGGGGAAGAGAGTAGCTGAGCCAGCACCACCCCCGTGGTCTTTACCAGTTACAGCTCATCTTCATCCAACTTGGCAAGTCTGGCCTGGCAGGGCGGGGTGTTTGAAACTGGTGGAACTGAAGGAGAGTCACGAGGAACCTGGGGGATGTCACCGAGGGCCTGAAGAAATAATCAAATTAGAAAATCAAAAAAGTTCAGGAATCCACCCCGGCTCCTCTCTTTTCAGTGTAAGCCCCCAGTGAAGCCACCTTTTGCCAGACAGACATCTTAGATTACCTGAGACCATCAGTGAAAGTGGAGGAAGAAGGGGAAGAAATGGGAAGTAGAAAGGAGTAGACAGAAGGAAGGCGGTGGGAGAGGAATGATACGGGGGAGAAGGATTTGGGGACCCTGGAACAGGAGAGGCCCCCCCCATTCTACCCCTATAACCAGGCAAACACCATTCTTCATACCTGTGTGTCCAGGGGCAGGGGGCCGCTGGCCACCTCCCCTTTGGGTAACAGCAGCAGGGAGGGGAGAGAGCCATTGATGGGCTTGTGTGTGCTGACCTGGGCCCGGTCTCCAGGCCGCATTTTCCCAGGGCTCCCCACCCCAGGCCCTCCTGGCCGCCCCAGGCTGTTGGTCTGGCTCTCCCGTCTCTGGTACTCAATGGGTGATTGCAATGCTGGGCAAAGAGAAGAACAGAAGGAGGGTTACAGCAGAGACAGGTCCTTTCTTTCCCTCAGGGCTCTGCTCAGGCCATCTTTCCATTTTGCTCTCCCTCCAAAGGTGTCATCCATGTAAATTAACCTTTAGAGGATTCTGAGTTATCAATTCATATATATATATGTATATATAATATATATGATATATTTTTATTGATTTCAAATAGGAAGGGAGAGGGAGGGAGATAGAAACATCAATGATGAGAGAGAATTACTGATCAGCTGCCTCCTGCACACCCTCTCCTGGGAATTGAGCCCACAGCCCTGGCATGGACCCTTCAGTCCGCAGGCTGACACTCTATTCACTGAGCCAAACCAGCTAGGGCTGAGTTACCAATTCTTGAGCTATTAGTGGGAATAGGGGACAAAGTGAAGCCAGGATCAGAGGGCAGGGATGGGAGACTGGGCAGTAAAGGATTCAGAAGGGAGCATGTGGAGGAGAGAGGGTGAGAACTCACCGTTGAGAAAGTCCCGCTGGCTTTCTAGGATCTGAGCCACTTGCTTGATCCAGGCCTGACTGACTGCAGCGTCTGCAGTCTGCAGGACATAGCGCTGGCTCCCACCCTCTGGCCCTCTGGAGGTCAGAGCAAAGCGGCAAGGGTCACCTTGGAGGTTCCCCTCTAGTCCAAGGCAGCTCACCTGGATTGGCAAATAGGAGATAGTGCCCCCAAATTCTTCAGGCCCTCTCTAGCTCCTGCCCCCTCCAACAACTCCAAGAGCCAGGCATCCTCTCAGAGGCCTCCCCCCATCCCAGTCAAACCCGTCCCTCGTAGCCCCCTCCCCACCTTGATGCTGCTCTTGTACACATATCCAGGCGGGGTTCCACCTCGCACTCCTCCTCCCAAGGCCTCACTGAAGATGACGATTTGCTCAAAGAGGAAGACGCGCCGCTCTCGACCCCGGGAGGAGAGAAGCCCCCCAGCCTCAGGCTCTGTGACCCAGAATGTGTCCTGGCCCAAGAGCTTCCCCTGAGCAGTCAGTTTGCCCTAGAACCAAAGGACAGTGGTCTTCCAGGGGGGAAAAAAACACAAGAAGAAAAAAGAGGCAACTCTCTGCTCCTCCCTCCTTCCCCTGACACTCCCAACCAACCACAGGGTAGCACCCGGAGAGGACAATTCCCCGTAAGGACTTCCTGAGTCTCAGACTGAGACGGAGGAGCGCTGGTCCTCAGGTTTCCTGCTCCATCCCCATACCTCAAATCCCCGCAGTCTCCCCAGGGTCATCATGTCATCACAGCGCTTGGGCACAAAGCACATGACTTCCACAGCTCGCTGGGATGCAGGTGAAGAGAGAAGCAGAGTCATCAGGAAAAAGCCATGTTTTGACCCCCTACGGCCTCCCCTTACACCAGACAGCTCTATACCACCCAAGGAGCTGGGGGGATGCAGGGGGCTTAGAAGGTAAAGGTGTGTGTGATGTGCCCTCACCTCCAGCTCTTCAGTATCCATCCCAGCTCTGCTGTAATACTTGAGAAAATCCTAAGACACAGAAAAGAACGTTCAGGAGGTTCAGGAAGTCAGGAGGACATTCTCAGAAGCTCTCACAACCTCCCCCAGGACACAGGCGGAGGCCTCCAGGAAGTCCGGGGGAAGCCTTAGGAACCCTGAGGAGATGAATGAAGAAAGCTGTCCCCGCCAGCTGGCAGGTGGGCCTGACCTTGAGCAGCAGCTGGTATTTCATGATCCTCTGTACTGGCTTGATGAGAAGATCATTGAGCTGCAATCGGTGCCCCAGCTGCTGCCGGAGCTCCTGGAGACAGGGATACACAGTGGTTATGCAGCCTGGAAAGCCTGCTCAGGGGGATTCTGTCCCTCTTTTCCCCAGGTGCCTCAGCCACTGACCTCAAAGTAGCTGTCCCCAAATTCTGACACCACATGCTCTGACTTGGGTTTATTCTGACAGTATACCACGTACATATGCAGCCGGCGCTCCTAGGAGGTGTAAAGTTTAAGAAAGAGCAGGTTGAGTGAGAAGGAAGAGCACTTCCACAGCCCAATCCACTCGCAAGCCCCTCCCCAGCCCCACCCTCTCGAGCCTCACGTGTTTGATGAATAGCTGAGCCAGCCAATCAGGATCCTTCAAACACCGCTGTAGCTCCCCCAGGAGAAAGCTAGTGGGATTGGCAGGGAGAAGTTAGGTCAAATATCCCCTGCCCTGGTAATGCTCCCTTAAAGCCTCTTCAAACCCTCCACAGGCAACAATAGCTCCTGGGCCAGGGACGGGACGGGACACTGAGACAACCGACAAATGCCCCTCCCTCTTGCTCTCAGGGCTCCACCACTCACTCTCGATGCCACTCGTAGATTTGCTGGATGTTCCCAAACACAATCCTGTCGCGGCCTCGAAGATTCTCTGGGACCCCCTGAGCGGCCATGGTGGCCATGTAACCCTGTGGAAGTTTGGGGCGGGCACATAAGTATATGGGGACAGCCTGGTGGGAACACTCCCTCCATAATAAGTGCAGGATGTAGGGGGATTGGGAAGGCGGGACAAAGGAGCATCAAGGCATCTTTAATTTTTTAATTTTTTTCTTTTATTTCCTTTTAATATATTTTATTGATATTTTTCAGAGAGGAAGGTAGAGGGACAGAGAGCCAGAAACATCGATGAGAGAGAGACATCCCCGATACATGCCCCTGACTGGAATCAAACCTGGGACTCCTCAGCCCGCAGACTGACGCTCCATCCAATGAGCCAAACCGGTTTCGGCTATTTCCTTTTTTTTTTTCGATTGAAATTTTTAATAGAGCGTCAGCCTGCGGACTGAAGGGTCCCGGGTTCCATTCCGGTCAAGGGCATGAACCTTGGTTGCGGGCACATCCCCAGTGGGGGATGTGCAAGAGGCAGCTGATCAATGATTCTCTCTCATTGATGTTTCTAACTCTCTATCCCTCTCTCTTCCTCTCTGTAAAAAATCAATAAAATATATTTTTTTTAAAAATTGATTTCAGAGAGGAAGGGAGAGGGAGAGAAAGAGACAGAAACATCAATGATGAGAGAGAATCATTGATCAGCTGCCTACTGCAGGCCCCATAATGGAGATGGAGCCCACAACCCTGGGCATATGCCCTGACCAGGAATCGAACGATGACCTGGTTCATAGGCTGACACTCAACCCCTAAGTTATGCCAGCTGGGCAGAGGGAAGGGGCTGGGTCAGGGCTGGGAAGAGAAAAGGGAGTTACCTCCACGATCTGCCCTAAGTCCTCCACGTACATTTTCTCTGTCTCTACCAGTTCACCGAGGACATACCTGGGAAGAAAGGAGTGCACATCCCTGGGTTAGCCCCTTTCTCCCTCCTGGGCTAGAAGCCCCTTCGTTTCCACAGCCAACCTCAGAGGAAATCCCAATTCTCAGTCCTCTGGACGCTGTACAGTGGCAGGGAGGGAGGGAGAGTCTGTGGACACTTACATACTCAGTTCCAGAGCTTTCTTTTTCTGTTCCTCCTCACTCTCAGGGGCTTGGGACAAACTCTCCTCCTCAGGTAGCTGAGAGAAAAGAACATCCTAGAGGAAGCAAGTGGATGCCTCTTGGGTGAGGGGAGCCACCAGGCCCGTTTCATCATCATACCTTCGTCTCTTCTCCGGGGCCCTCCAGCAGAGTGGTCAGCAGGGTCAGTTCTGGAAGTCCCTCTCCTGTGGCTAGGGCTGGTTCCAGCATCCAGTTCTAGGGGCCAAGGTCAAGTGCCAGAGGTCAGGGACAGTAGCTGTGTCTCCCCATGGACCTGTCTTCTCTCCCAGTGTCCTGCATGGATGTCCTACGTGCTCCTGTGGTGTTCCCTGCTCACCTCACATGGTCCAGCCTGGCCACCATCTCCTTCCGTTTCCACACTAAGACAATGCTTGGAGTGATCCAACCATCTTCTCAGGCCACTGATGGGCGCTGGGGGGCCCGGGGAACAGGGTTCAGAGCTGAGGCCGGAGTTGGGGCCAGAGGGGACAGCCAGACCCGAGGCAGCTGAAGCCGAGATACTCCCCTCACTGTCAGCAATGGAGTAGGATTCTAATGGGGTGGGCAGAGAGAAAAGGGGCGATAGATCCCATATTCCCTCTATGATGCTCAACCCCTCTCTCTCCCCGGGGCTCACACTCTCACCGTCCTCATCGGAGTTAGCCAGGAGAGAACATCTCCCCAGGGCACCCTTGGAAGGACAGTAAATGCCCGGCTCCCCAGGCCCGGAACCCCGGGGAACACGTGGAGGTTCCCCTGATACCCAGAGCACTGGCACAGATATGGGGGTGGGGCCAGCCATCTGGACAGACACACTGGAAGCTGGGGGTGGCCATCTGCTCTCCTGCCACCCTCCCCCTTCCAATGGGTACAAACCATTCTCTGAGAAGGGGGTGTGAAGAGCTAAGAGCACATCTGCTACCCCCCCCCCCTCCTCCACCAATGTTCGTGATCACTATCATAAAAAAAGACGTCTGCAGCCCACCTCCCCAACACGCACAAACCCAACGGAAGGGGCAAGTTAGGAAAGCTTATCCCGGTTATTTCTGGCCGGGGCTCAGGGACAGAGGAGCTGCGATTTTTGAGAAAGCCCCCAGTAGATCCTCTCAATCCTCATCCCTCCATCCCCCTGTCCCTCTTCAGGGCTGAAGCAGGATCTCAGCACCAGGATGTGAGGGAAGATGCGGTTCCAGGCCTAAGGGGATGGTGGAGGGGTTTTCTCCTCCCCAGCGGACTATAGGATAGGCCTGCCCCTTCCCCAATTTCCTCAACTAGAACATTGGAGGCAGACGGGGATCTCAGAGATCATCTGTTCAGTATTTCCTGGAAAATACAGGTAGTCTCTCCAGCTTCTAAATCCCTAGGGCCCGGGCACACAAGTCCTGACCCCTCAGCCCGCCCCCCATTCAACGCTGAGCCCTGGAGACCTCGCACTCACCACGTCCCCCCCGGGCGATGCAGCAGCCGCATTTTGCCAGCACTTTTCGGATCACATTGGGACAGGCACAGCGACCCCCCTTGTGGCCCTCCCGCATGGCGCCCGGGCCCCCCCGCTCCCCCCACCCGGGCCGGCCATGCAGGGGGAATCACGGGGGGCGGGGCGGGGCGGGGCCGCAGCAGGGCGCACCCCCCCTCCCTCCTACCCCCGCTCCAGGCCGGGCGAGGGGGGGGAGGGAGGGGGCGTCCAGGGGGAGCGGAAGTCTGGTCTGGAGGAGGGCCGGGGGCTCCGCGACGAGGGCGGTGCGGGCCGGGCCGCGGGGCCGGGCGGGGAGGGCTTCCGGAGCCCGGTCGGCGCGGGGTCCAGAGGTCCAGCGGGGATGGAGGGATGGTGGGAGAGGCTGGGCCGGGATGCGGCAGCCGCTTCTGCTCCGTCTCCGGCCACTCGGGCTGGGGATGGATGGTTCTAGGTCCGGGCAGGGGTGGAGGGGCGGGGGGCGAGTCCCCGGCGCTGCGCGGGTCCGGGCCGAGCGGCGCGACAAATACCAGGCCCGGCCGCCGAGCCGCCGCGGGGAGGGGCCTCGGCGCCCAGCTCCGCCCTCTCCCCGCGTTCCCCCTTTAGCCAGTGTCGGGTTCCCGCCCCGATCCCCCCTCCCCCGGGCACCACCACGTTCCCGCTCCACGTCCCCAGCGCCTCTGCCCCTCCTCCGCATGCCGGGGTTCCCCTCCCTCCAGCTCCTCCGGCTCGGGCCGCGGAGCGCTGGGGTGGGGGGAAGCCCGCGGCGGGGTCTGCGCGGATCGCCCCTCCGCCTCTGCGGGGGAGAAAGCCCGGGGGACGCGGCCTGGGCCTGTGCGGAGACGGCCTGGAGCTGGGCTGTCCCTCGCCGGGCAGAGGTGGGCAACCCCCATCCCCCGAGTGGGGGTGGTGAATGGGGGGCTCTTTGTGGGGAACACAGCCCAGGTGCCGCCCTCTCACCCGACCCTTCTTCCCTCCCGGCCCGGGACTGCAGCCGAAGCTAATCACCAATTAAGGCGAAGTCCCGGAGCCGGGGCTGGCGGGGGGCCAGGGGTGGGGCGCGGGGCCGGCGGAGCGGGGGACACAGCAGGCTGGAGGGCGAGAAGAAGCGCGGAGGTCTTCTTCGGCGATTAAATGGGTCTCGGGCAAATTAGCTGCGAACCTTCATGCTCATAAGGGCAGCATTTTTTTTCTTTTTTCTTAATGTTCCACTTTGCGCAGGATGGATGGCCAACTGTGCCCCACCCCACCGCCAGCGTCTTACCGGGCAGCGGAGCCCAGGGGGGGACCTCAGGTTCGCGCTCCCCTCTCTGGTCCCCCTCCGCACGGGCAGGCTCTGGCTCAGTCCCCTCCGGCCCCAGGGGGCTTCTCTTCGGAAGCTGCGGGGATAGAATGACTGTGAGGCACCCGCCCTTCACGCCCAGCCCTCACCCCCTTCCCCTTCCCCTTCCCCTTCTCCCTGCTGTCAAGTCCCACTTTGTTATGAAAGGGTCGCCAGGGCTGGGGTAGAGGGAACGGTTCGCCCAGAGCTCGGCTATGGCCCTCTTAATGGGACGCTTGGATTCCTGCGGGGCCCCCGCAAAACTTGCTTTTGCGGGTACATTGAGTTGTGGGGTGCAGCCGTCCTGAAGCCCCCGAAAGACCGCCGAACCCCACCACATTCGCCCTTTCTTACCCCCTCCTGCCCGGGGAGGGCGCATGCGCGCAGCATGCCCCCCATGACCCCCAGTATCCGGTCAGTGCGGCCCGGGGCGGGGCGGTCTGGGGGCTTCATGCTGGACCCCTACCCAGCTCCAAGTCTCAGGCCGAGGGGTACGGAAGCTGGGGGGCTCTGAGGCCTGCGCGCGTCCGGGGAGTTGCTGCAGACGAGTCCGCCCCCTGCCCGGCTCCGCCCCCGCTCCCACCCCAGCCAAACTTTTTGGAAGGGCTAGGGTTGTTCCTCCCTACAGCCACAGTGCATCAACAACCCCCTCTCAATACAGACTCCAAGTCGAAGTGTGACCTGGGGCTGCGCAGTGTTATTGTGGATCGCACCAAGGACATGCCGTTTCCCCAGGACTGCCGGCGGAGGCTCGGAGGCCCTCAGGGATTTCCTCATCCACCCCCATCCCCTTCTCCGCGGCGCCCGCTCCCCACCCCACCCCCACCCGTCCACAGAACAGAACGGGTGTGGCATAGAGTTGCATATTTTGCTTTATTTTTATTAAATTAAAAGCTACAGTTTGGCGGCAGTTCCAGAACGGGGTAAGGAGGCTCCTTATAGGGCGGAGAAGAGCAGGAGACAGACTGACAGAAACAAAGACACAGGAAAGGACGAGGTTAAGGTAGCCGGGGAACTGGTTAGGAAGAACATACAGGGCCGCTCCGTGGGGGCTCACACCGGCTGATTCCCCCTCCCCTGCACCAAAGTTCAGCAGTGGAACACTATGGGGTGGGAGTGGGCGTTCAAGACCCCCTCCCTGCCCACCCACATCCTTTCTCAGCTTAGTCACTGGAGCACAGACAGACCAGAAAAAGCCAAGGGCAATGGAGGGGGCAGAAAGACTGGGAGTATGTACACCAGAGGGAAGCAGAGCCTGAGAAGCAGCCTCTGCCAGGAGGGAGCAGCTCACACTGCACTGAAGCACTTGGCCTGTGGGGACAGGGGAAGGGATTGCCCATCCCTCTCGGAACTCCTCCCCAGTCAGACAGGTCCCCTACTGCATGGAATGGGGGAGCAGAGGGAAAGAGAACAGAGGCTTCTGTTGGGTCCTAGTGGAGGACAAAGGCAGGGGCCTTGGCAAGGGGGATGTCCTTCAATCATCTGTGATACCCTTGGCTCTCAGCTCCTCTTGCACCCGGGTCAAGTAGGTGGGGTCTGGGTACCCAAACCTGAAAGCAAAGAAAAATGAGGGTCAGGGTCAGCTGTTCAGTCTTCTCCCCATGCTCACAATCGTTCTGGGTGCCCCATTGTGGGCCCTCTGTTCCCTCCCCTAATGTAACCCAAATCCGAGATAAATTAGCCCAATTCTGCTTATTTTTGCAGGTTCAATTGGGCATATCAGGACCAAGTTAAATGTAGGAGAAACTGGGATGGAAGACATGGTTGAATGGTTTGGGGCTGGCCCACTCCATGAGGAGGCTCCCAGAGAGAGGGAATTGCTGTTCTCTCAGTGGAAACGGACAGAGGGGAGGAGCCAAGTAAAGGGGAATGAAGAAGTGTCCCACAGCTGGGGTCCCCCTGTGCAGCTGGTCTTGTGGTGGATGTCGTTCCAGGTGATGACATTCGGTCTCCCTGTGGTCATGGACGTGCCAATGGTGAAGGTGAGACGCTGGTCAAACGCCTTTCGGAACAGGGTCAGCACCTTGTTACCCTCAGGGCAGTCCGGGAGGTAGGCCACCCGAGTGGTGCCAGGATACCGAACTCCTGGGTTTGGGTGTTCAGCCTGGGAGGAGGGGGAAGCGAAGTGAGCAGTGAGTAGCTGGACATCTTTTAAAAAAAATATATTTATTGATTTCAGAGAGGAAGGGAGAAGGAGAGATAGAAACATTAATGATGAGAGAGAATCATTGATTGGCTGCCTCCTGCACGGTCCCCACTGGGGACTGAGCCCGGAACCCAGGCATGTGCCCTTGGCTGGTATCAAACCTGGGACCCTTGAGTCACGCTCTATCCACTGAGCCAAGCAGGCTAGGGCATAGCTGGACATCTTAAGACCAAAATGCCAATGGAGGTTCCTCCTGGCCAGCCTTTTGTCTGTGCACACCCAGTTAAGGCTGACAGGGCAGCGACAGGCTGACAGCCTTTCAGGCAAGGAGAGACGCTAGGGTCTGGGCAGCAGGAGCCTATTTCTGGACAAAGTCCTTATTGATAAGAGGCTCTCTCTCCTGGTCTCAATCCTTCAAGTCTCAATTCAGCAACAAATGGAGTCCCAGAAGTGATGGAAGGTAGCTGGTCCTTACTCTCCGGGTAACTCAGCAGAAATGTGAAGACAGGCTAATTTGTCTTCCTGCCTTCCCTTCTCTACCTGAAAACACTCCCAATGCTTTTTCCACTGTCTGACCTATCCCATTTTTTTATCCTTCTTCAGAGCTTCCTCATCCCTCTGCAAAGCAGAACTGGGAATTACTCTGTCAAGCAGGAAGTCACCTGTAGGCCCCTGACCACTCCTATTTTAACCTCCGGTCATCAAGGTTTTCCTCCCTCCTAAGTTTGGAATGGAGGAGCGCTCCCAGCTCTGAGAGAAAGGAGATCCCTTACTGCTGTGCCTGCCTGCACCTGAGCCATCATCTTTACAGAATTAGAAATAGTATTTAATTCCTTTCTCTGATACCCGGTTTTCTTTCTTTCTTCCTTCCTTCCTTCCTTTCTCTTTCTTTCTTTCTTTCTTTCTTTCTTTCTTTCTTTCTTTCTTTCTTTCTCCTTCCTTCCTTCCTTCCTTCCTTCCTTCCTTCCTTCCTTCCTTCCTTCCTTCCTTTCTTTCTTTCTTTCAAATATATTTTATTGAGTTTTTACAGAGAGGAAGAGAGAGGGCTAGAAAGCTAGAAACATCAATGAGAAACATCAACCAGCTGCCTCTTGCACACCCCCCATGGGGGATGTGCCCAAAACCAAGGTACATGCCCTTGACCGGAATCGAACCTGGGACCTTTCAGTCCGCAGGCCAACGTTCTATCCACTGAGCCAAACCGGTTTTGGCTGATATCCCATTTTCACGTGTGCTATGGGGTTGTGGGGTTGGAAAAGCTGGGCCTCATGGGACCTCCTAGCTCCAGGGCATTGAGTGGGAAGTCATATAGCAAAAGGTATATGGTAGAAACAGCAAAACTATATCACATCTCAAAAACACACTCCCCCTCCCCTAGATTTCCTAGATCAGAGAAAGAGCTGGAGGAGAGAGGGAAACAAAGGGTACAGGCAGGCGGTAGTCTCCTTACCCCCTGGACACCGGGCGGGAAGACATACTGGATGACGATGGTGCCATACTTCTCATAACTGGGCAGCAGGAGTGTGGCGTCCTTAGAGACCAGCATCCGTCCATTCTGGGGCTGGTTGCCCACCAGCTGCCCATAGAAGCGGCCACACATGGGACAGGCCTTTTTCACCTGCAGGGCCCGGGTGATGCAGCCTTCACAGAAAGAGTGCCGACACTTCTCCAATGTCTTGGCGTTCTGGATCTCCCCCAGACAGATGGGGCACGTGCTCTCCTGCTCTTCTGCCTCCTCCCGAAGGCGGGGAGGAAGAGGAGGAGGCAGGGGGGGAGGAGGAGGAGGAAGCCCCCGGGCCCCTGGAGGCAGGAGTGGGGCTGCTCGGAGAGGGGGTGGGCCTGGGCGGTGCAGCTCAGGATGTTCCCCCGCGCCCCCCAAAGCCAGGCAGCCCATCAGCTCCCCCTGCCTCTGAGCTTTCTTCAGCTCTTTCTCTGCCTCTTTGAGCAGCCCCTTGAGAGCCTTCCTGGCCAGGTAGAGCCCATTGGGCGGGGCGGGGGGAGGGCCCTGTGGGGAGAGCTGGAGGACATAGATGTCAGAAGTCTCGCCATCTATGAGGATGGACACACGGTGCTCTTCCCGGAGCCGGGCCAGCCGGGCTGGTGTCTCCTTGCTCAAGAAGTCCCACACGGGCTTGGAGACAGTGACTTTGGTCTTGCAGGTGCCTCCACAGGCTGCCATTCTGGACAGGACGAACGACACTGCCCCCAGGGTGAAAGGTCCCCCATTTGACAAACATCAGTGCCTCCTACTTTAGGTTTCTTCCCAACCTTGTGTATCATCTCTGCTTTCTCAAAGCCCAACACCCAACTAACTCCTCTCCCAAGTTCATTTTCTGTCTCCTCTTACCTTTCAAATCCCCGGCACCCACTGAAGAGCAAGAAAGTCTCTACAACATTATTATTCTCGACTAAACCAAGCATCAGTCTTGGTTCTCTTTCCACTCCTCCCAAGATCACAGAAACAATCTGCCCCTCTACTCCCCTCCCCCCCCCCCCGAGTGAAAACTGTCTTTTGTAAAAGGGAGAGAGAGTTTTTGACCCTCCTTTTTGCTCACTTTGATCCTGAAGACCTTAGAAATGGCATGCAGGCTCTTTCTCTGTCCCTGCTCCCTACTTGTAGGTGGTGTGACCTGATGGGTGGGCAGGAAAAGGAGAGAAAGTGAGAAACCCCTTGCCCCATTCCCACATGTCCAGCCCCACAACCCACATAACAAAGACGGGAACCTGGGAATCTGGACGTAAACCACTGGGAATGGGATTGCTTGGCGCATGGAATGGAGAAAACCAATTTAAAGGTGAAAGTTGAGGTTCCCGGGGGAGGCAGATACCTTGGAAGCCCATGGACAACAACAGCCTCAGGAATCCCTCTCTTTCCACACTCAGCTGCCCAGGGCTGGGGTGTGTGGAGGGGAGAGAGTAAAAGGTTATGAGGACAAGTTACCATCTTCCTCAGTCAGCCCACACACAAAAGAAAAACTCCTTTATTTCCTCTCCTTCTCTGTGGCATCCCACCCCCAGCCTCTCCCTAAGTTGCCAAGAAGGAATGTTAACTTGCTAACTTTCCTTCTCTCTTTCCCAGCTCTGAGGCTCTCAAGACCCCCCAGGGAACAGAAAAGAGAAGTCAGGAAGGGAAAAGCCCACACAGATGGAGGTTCTCCTGGCCGCCTCCCTCAGATCACATGGACAAGATCCTATGTTCCCCAACTCCCCGCCTTGCTCCACATTGCCAAGTAATCCAGCCCCCATTGCTGGGGGACCTTCCTGGAGAGCCTTCCCAGTTTCTTCTACGGAATTCTGTTTGGAATGCAAACTAAGCGGCATAAAGTTCTCACTATCACCTTTCAAACCAGCACACCAAGTGCAAGTCTGTCAGCCCCTGGTCTGTATTTAGGGTGGGGGTGGGGGTGGGTGGTCATGCAGGGGGCTCCACTGGAGGAGTGTGATGTCCTTCCCGTCCCCCCCCCCCCAGTCTTGCCACGCTCAGCTACAGAGCTGTCCCTACACCACCTCCCAATGCAGCTCACATAGAGGGGCCACTGGTGTGACCTCAATTCCTTGACTGATCCCAAGGGGAGCAGCTCTCCATTTGTGCCACCATCCTAGTTCCTTCCAGGCCAGAAGGGAGCAGTCCCCTCAGCTCAGGCTGTCTCCCCAGGTGCCCCCCCCCCCCCATCAGAGGGCACCCAGGACCTAGGCGTCCTCGCTCCAAGTCCTGCTGGCACAGGACGGGGAGGCGGGGCCGCGGCCGCGCTGGGTCCCCGGAGCCTCCGGGCCGCCAGGGCCCAGCGGCTGGTCCCTCCCTGCGGGCCGCACTGGGGGCGGGGCGCCGGGGAGGACAGGTCCCCGGGGGCGCCCCCGGAGGCTGAGCCCCCTCCCCCGCGACCTCCCGCCAGACGCGACCCGGAACCAGCTCCCCGTGTCCGCGCTCGCGGGGCCCCCGGAGCCCCTCCGGTGGGTGTGGGTGCTCGTCCGCCCGCCCGCGGCCCCTAGCACCCCCAGATGGAGGCCCCGGCTGGAGAATGACAGACAGGGGAACTCGGGGCGTGCAGGGGTCCCCGGCGCCGCGCGCGGGGAGGGAGGCGGAGGAGGGGGCGCCGGGGCCGCGGGGGAGCGCGCGGGGGGCGAGCGGGGCCCAGGGGGCGCGCGGTGGGTGTGGGGGCGCCGGGCTCACCTACCTCCCGTCAGCGCCGCCATTGCCGGTCACATGACTGAGGCTGTTGCTGGGATGACGGCCTGGGCCTTAGCAACAAGGGGGGGCACCCGGCAAGGCGGAGGGGGCTGTGCAGGGGTGCGAACCGAGGGAAGGGAGGGGACTGCACCCCTCCCAGGTGGCAATCACCGTCTCCTCCGACCCCCGCCACCCCCAGCCCCTGCCCTTCGCCCCCAAAACAAAAATGGAGGCTCCGTCCCGGGCTGGGGAGGGAGCGGCGTCGCGGAGTGAGGGTCGGAGGTTACATCCCTCGGAGACGCTCCCACCTCCGCCCTCCGATGCCGGCTGCCGGCGGCGGCGGTGGGCGAGGGGTGCCTGTCTAGGTGGATGGGAGCCGGCAAATTGGGATCCTTGTGCGGGAAGGGCCTTTGAGGAAGAACGTGGGATGGGAAGAGGAGTCACCGTGAGAAGCATCGGAACTAAAATAACAATAAGCCCCAGGAATAAACTGCTTGTCACTTCCCCCTTCTCCCCTTTCCTAGATTGCCGCCTGGGCCCCCTCCCAGGTGGGGGCTGGTGCCTCCGATTGCTTTCTCTCACAGAGATACTGAGGCTGGTGCAGAATGGGAAGCGATTGCGTTTTTTTAACAATGCTTTGGGGTTGGGGTGGCTTCAAGTCTATGGCTCAAATAGTTAAAAACTCTCAAAGGGGGGGGAAAAAAAAAAGCTCTGCTGTTTGCTTCCCACATCAGAGCAATCTCCGCCCCAGTCCGACTCCAACTCGCTTCCCTGGGGCCACGGCGAGCCAGGCTTTCCCACCAGCCAGGCCTCCTCAGCCAGGAGGTGCCGGTCTCCCAGCCTGCCAACAGCTTCTGTCCGCCGCCCCCTTCCTCACTCCCCTCGGGGCGGGAGGGCTGGTCACTTTCTCCTCCACTTTCCCAGGACCCTGCTGTACTATTTCTGCCCTCCAGGCAGAGGACATCTTTCCCAAGAAGCCTGGGGAATACGGAATTCCTTCTTTAGCCAGTGGGCTGAGACACCTTGACAGAGACAGGGGCTGTGACCAAGCCCAGAATCCTGGGGAACCAGGGAGGGTCACTTCTCAGTTCTTCCTAGCTCCCATAGTTTAACTTCCATAAAGTTGGAGAATGTACAATACAACTTAAAATTTTTGTTTTATTGATTGATTTTTAGAGAGGAAGAGAAACACTGATTTGTTGTTCCATTTATTTATGCATTCATTGTTGATTCTTGTATGTGCCCTGACCAGGATCGAACCTGCAATCTTGGTGTATTGGGATGATGCTCTAACCAACTGAGCTACCTGGCCAGGGCCACAATCATCGCAACCTTTTAAATTCACAGCCATCTAAGTAGAAACCTACATCCTTACTTAGGGGCTCAATACCTTAAAGATCAGAATTTGTTATCTGGTCCCTACAATCCTAAGCATAGGGTCCTTCTGAAAAGAAAAAGAAAAAAAAAAAAAAAGAGGCATTTCTGTGGAGGGATTTAGATTCCATAATTTAATTTCTATATAGTGACAGCAATGGGAGTAAATACACAATATCTTTCATATTAATAAAAAAGATGAAAATCAGAAGCAACAAATAGACCATACTGCTCATGATACATCAGCTACATGGTCAGGAAACCCATTCCTAAAGAACAACAGTTGCTGGTGTCTTGGAGTCAGTGCATTCACCAGGGGGAAGGTAGGCTCTGGGCAGGATGGTATTGTAAGTCCCAATCCTTAATGGGATTCCTCTAGTTACTTACTTTGGAGCCAAAGATGGAGGAGGGAGAGGAAGGAAGGGGATTTTGTTGTTGTCTTTACTTTTATTCTTTTATTTGGGAGAGGGAGAGGGGGAGAGAGGGGGAGGGAGAAACACTGATTGGTTGCTTTCCATATACATCCTGACCAGGGATCAAATCCGCAACCTGGTATGCACCCTCACTAGGAATCAAACCCACAACCTTTTGGTGGGTGGGACGACGCTTCAACTGAGCCACATCAGCCAGGGCAGGGATTCTTCTTTACGACTTCGTGACTTCTTGTGAGACAGATCAGTCCAGCCAGATACAGAGCAAATAATCTTTGCATCCTCACAGGCCAGGTGCTGGTATCCATCTTTATATATATTTTTTAAAATGTAGAAGCCTCAGGGGTATGGAGGATAGCAAGAAGAATGGCTGCCTTTGCTGGAGGGTAGGGGGGGGTACTATCCGGGCGCATCAGGATCCTCTACATTCTGAGAATATCATGCATCCAGTCCACTGTCTTTGGAGGAGGCTGGGGATGGAGTTACAGCTCTGATTCCTCTCTGGGAATAGAGTGAAGATGACTGGGAGACACAGTAGCAATAAGATGGGATAGATGAGAACAGAATAACAAATCCAACTGGAAAAAGGCTTTGAGAAGGAGTGGGGGAAGGAAGTATGCTAGGCACACACCTCCAGCGGGTAGAGGAGGTTCTTATACTTGAGACCTCCGTTCTCTTTAAATGTCCAGGTTGACCCAAGTAGAGACATTACCTTCTCCTGGGAATAACACCTCAGGGATGGCTAGACGGGAAGCAAAGAAATTTAACCTGGGGAATGGACCTTAGACCCCTGGCCTATCTTCCCAGCCTACAGAACTGGTCACTCCTCCACTGAAGGCCTCCAGCGCCAGAGGGGTGTGTGGCCTTGAGGAGGAACAGCAGCAGTCAACACCTTCACCTAGCCTTGGACACTCTGGCCATCCATCTCTGGGCTCCTATGTCCAGAAGTACAGAGGCGAGGGTAGAAGTGGGGAGAGGGAAGAGATTGGAGAGAGTAGTCCGTCCATGACAGAGACTTTCTCCAGTTTCTACATAATCAATCACAAGAGGCCTCTTAGTTTCCACCTCCATGAGGTACAAGCCTGCTGACCACTCTCCACCCCACCTGTGTGTGTAAGATTGGCCATATCTCATCATGTGAGCGTGCCTGCACCCGTAGTATTTTGAAAGTCTTTCATCCCAGGGCCTACCAGGAAACAGGCATGCCCTAGTGAGTTCTATAAAGTTATCAGCAAAATTCAGACACTTAGTGTTCATCCCACAGAAGAAAGTGCATCCAGAGTAGTTGCTTGAGCCAGTTTCATCTGTCCAGTAAGATCCTGAAGACAGCAAACAACCCCTTCCCGCCAGATTCTTCTACTTTTATAGAAACAACAGGACATATTACAAAAATCAAGGCACTTGGGAGAGAATCAACAGTAACACTCTAATGAAGCAAGCAGACATGTTGAAGGGGAGAGAGAGAGGGAAGAAAACTGGACAAAGGGGAGAAAAGACGATGTATTTCTGAGGGCCAGGAAGAGCCTACTCAGTAAGATGGAGTTATTTGGAAGGAAGGAGCCTGTAGCCTGAATTTAGCAGAGGAAGAGAAGTAGTGACTAGAATATCTGAAATTCCCCCAAGGCTCTCAGAACCCTACCACCTTGAACATAAAGTAGCAGTGACCACGAAGTCTCTTAGGCAAAGATGTTGGTAATAAAATCCAGGAATCGCTTGGCATACTGTTCAGGATGGACAGTAGAGATCTCTGCCCCAGCCTGTGAGAAGAGGTATGGAACATGGTGTCAGGCCAGCCAGCCACTCTTCCTCCTCCTCTATTCCACTCCCCACCTTTCTATACCCAACACTTCATCCTCTTGTCACCCCACTGCTCTGGCACAAGAGGCTCTCTCCTCCCAAGGAATAGACAAGACAAGAAAGGAAAGGCCTCAGGGAACCCTCACCCCATGCTTGACAGTTTTGGCTGCATGAGCTGCTTTCTTCTTGGCATCGTACTGTGTCAGGATGTCAATGAGGCCCATGAAATACACCTCCTTCTGGGGGGCCCCTGGAGAGAGAGTAACCGGCAATGAAGAGCAAGTATAGTCCCAATTCCCTTTCCCCAGGAACCAGTCAGACCTCTGAAAGCTAACCAGCCTCTGCATCCAGCACCCCGTGTCTATCCTACAAGGACTACCCTCCCCACCCTTAAAATTTCCAGGATCTCTCTTACCTTCAGCACTCCGGATGGCGTAGACATCGATGAAGGATTCAAACTCTCCAGGGCCCAGGGGCCGATGAGAAAGCATGTAGCTGCCAATACCCTCAGGGGAGGTGCCATAGGAGCCCACCAGAGCAGGAGGTCCAGCCAGGCCACAGTCCCCATCCCCCTCTGGCTCTTCCTCCCGCACAGGGCCCTCCTCCTCTGGTTCAGAGCCGCGAACTATGTCATGTATGCCCAACAGAAGGCTGTAGTCCATGATCTTCAGCTGCACTAGGAACTGAGACCCCAATGACAAATCAGATACCCCAAATCTCCCTCTCCAATCCCAGGTACCACCTTATACTCCCACCACCCTCGAATTTCTGGGGCCCTCCTGGGAAAGGAAGTGTAAAAATTGAGGGTTGGTAGTATAACATTGTCCTCTAGGTCCTAAATGTGCTGGTGTCTAAAATCATCCTTTTAGTTCATTCCAGCCAGCCCTACCCCCATGCATCACCTCTAGGGGGTTTTCACATCTCATACCCAACTCCCTAAATGCAGAGAACCCAAAGAATAAAGGGGAGGGGAGGAGTTCCCTCGTATTCTGAATGGAGAGACAACTACCCTGAGGGGAGCAAAAAAGAAAACAAAGCCATTTCCCAGAGCACCCCAATCATCACCTCCACATCTCTCTTTAGCTTCTCTAGAAATATTTTCTTCTCCTCTTCACCAATATAAACTTTCTGGTTCTTGTTGAGAAAGTCCATGTCCTTAAGGGTAGGTAATTCCTTAACCTGAGAAGAGGTAAAGGGACATTTTGGGAATATATATCTCTTCCCCAGAGGTCTCAGAAAACCCTGCTCTGCCCAGAGCTCTGTCTCTGACTCAGTGCTCTCCACATTGGGATGCCTACTCAGAGTTTGTTCTCACCCCCAATGTTGTCCCCAGACTCAGTCACTCCAGCTGTACCCCAAATCACATCCCACTACTTTCTCTTTATGGTCTTCATTCCTTTCTTTCTTCTTCTTAAATAAAAATAGCTGCTTGAATAAAGAGCCCAGAGTGGAAGGTGGAGGTTAAGCATTTTGCTCTTCAAGTCTGATATCCTCACCCATCCCCAAACTTGGCACAAGGAATAACCAATGACAAAGCAGCCATTCCCACTTTCCCTTGCACACAATCCATAGATTAGGACAAGTTTACATCTCTATTCTTGTTATCTGTTTAAGATAAGAATTAACAGCTGGCAATCCCTTCCTCTTTATCTTAAGAAGATCCCTTTCACCTGCCTTCCCCCATCCCTCACCCTAAAATTAGTATTACCTTTTCTTTATCGCTGGCTTCCCGGGACACTAGGGAGCCCTGTGGAGAGACCCAAAGACCAAGTTCGCAGAAGTGGCTAAAAGAACAGTCAAGATCCAGCTTCTAAGAAGAGTATTCAAACCCATAGGCTTCTTTCCTTTAAAATAAATCATCCAGTAGCCTCCCAGGCCCTCCCCTCTCTCAGGCCACCAGGAGCCTCCCCCTCCACCCTACCTATCCTCTCTGTACCTTGAGGTCATACTTCCTGTGCACAGGAAGACGGTGGCTAAACATGTTGCGCATCACAAGCATGTAGCTGTCTTCATTGTCCACGCTGACTCGGTACATCCCCAGGAACTGGGGCAGCAGCGTGTTACCATGGCACTTCACAATGTACTGGTAGAAGAGAGAAAGAGATGGAAAGAGATTGAGCAGCAGATATTCAAACAGCTTAGGGAAGGGCATTCAAACACTATCATTCTAGACTGAGCAGAAAACTTCAAACAAAGAGGTTACAAGGTCAAAAGTGGTGGGCACTTCCTAAAGATGCCTCCGGTCATCTGTGAAGTTTCTGAATACTCATCTTCTCAGATTAATCATTTGCATAACTACACATCATACAAATTATTAATCTTAAAGTACCTTCTCTCATTTCATATTTATCTTTCTTTCAGATGGGGAATGGGGGTGTGATTATCCTTATATTAGACCTTTATAATATGCAAATGGTCATAGAATTAGAAATTACATCTGTTTACCAAAAAATTGATTTTATCCAGATCAATATTTCTTGGATTCCCCCAGCAAAAATGTTTGCCTGATGGCCTATCATTTGGATTCTTAAAAAAAAAATTATTCCTCTTTCACCCTGGCTGGTGTGCTCAACTAACTGATCAGAGTGTCATCCCATGCACCAAAGGATTGCAGGTTCAATTCCTGGTCAAGGGCACATACCGGAGTGGCGGGTTTGATCCTCAGTCAGGGCACATACGGAAGGTAACTAATTGATGTTTCTCTCTTACATCAATTTCCCCCCCCCCCCACCCCTTTCTTCCTCTCCCTAAAATCAATTAAAAAAATATTCCACATATATATGATTGATTTCAGAAAGGAGGAAGGGATAGAGGGGGAGAGAGATAGAAACATCAATGATGAGAATCATTGATTGGCTGCCTCCTGCATCCCCCACACTAGGGATCAAGCCTGTAACCCGGGCACGTGCCCTGAATGGGCACTGAATTATAACCTCCTGGTTCATAGGTTGACGCTCAACTACTAAACCACACTAGCTGGGAAAAATTCTTCTTCTTTCAATGCTTCTCTCTCTCAGTATTGCTACCTATTTCTCTTCATAACCAATCTCTCAGAAAAATAGTCAGCAATCAGTCCACTTCCTAGCTCTCATTCATACCTCAAACCTGAAGTCAGATATATACCCTCATTTCTCCTCTGGAATCACTCTACTCCTTCTTCCCCCAAATCCCTCAGTTGCCAAATTCAATGAATATCTAGTCATTGTCTTGTATTAACTGAATGGTAGTTATACTACTGACCAGTTTCTTCTTAAAACTCTCCTCACCCTCAGTTCACATTAGACCACTCTTCTGATTCCCCTCCTCTCTGTCCTCAAATCCTGTATGGAATGAAGTGGGGCATAATTACAAGTGTCCACTGATCTTAGTCTTCTTTAAGGGATCTTTTCTCTAGTTGTTCCTTAATGTTCTGTCCTCAATTTTCACTTCACTCCACACTTCCCTTCAATAATCTTATCTATACTTATGCTTTAATTACCACCTCTTCACCTTTAACTCTCAAATTTAGACTTCTACTCTAATCCTCTTTCCTGTACTTCATTTCCCAAACACTTGATGGACAGTGATATCTGAATCAACTGCAGAAACCCCACCCTCAACATGTCTAAATCAGAACTGTCTTCCTCCAAAAACCTGTTTTTCTGTTTCCAGGTGTTAGTGAATGAGCTTCCTGACCCCCCTAACCGGCAATTTAGAGGTGCTTTTGTCTTAATTCCTACAACTCTACCTTAAGTCTTCCTTTCCATCTCCATTGATATTATTCCTCCAGGTCTTTGTCACGTCTCACCTAGACAATTATAATTACACTAGAGGCCCAGAAATTCATGCATGGGGGCAGGAGGCGAGGGGGGAGGGGGAGTCCCTTAAGCCCAGCCTGCATGCTGGATCCATCTGGGGATGTCCAACACTGCCAGTTTAGGCCTGATCTCAGGGATCAGGCCCAAACCGGCAGTCAGACATCGCTCTCATGATCCAGGACCCTGGCTCCTAACTGCTCACCTGCCTGCTTGCCTAATCACCCTAACTGCCCCCCTGTCAGCCTGATCACCCCTAACCGCCTCTGCCTGCTGACCTGATCACCCCTAACAGTCCCCCCACCCTCCGTCAGCCTGGTCATCCTCACCCAGCCTGGTTGCCCCACACAGCCTGCTGTTCGATCATTTGGTTGCTCCTCACTTGTCACCCCCCCCCCCCCCCCCCCCGCCCGCTGGCCGGGCCATCCTAGCTACCCCTCAGAAGGCCTGGTCACCCCCAACTGCCCTCCCACCAGCCTGGTCACCCCTTACTGCCCCCCTCTGCCGGCCTGGTTGCCCCTTACTGTTGCCCCTGCCAGCCTGGTTGCCCGACACAGCCTGCTGTTCAGTTGTTTGGTCACCCCTAACTGCCCCTCCGCACCCTGCTGGCCTGGTCACCCCCAACTGCCCCCCTCTGCCAGCCTGATTGTTCCTAACTGCCCCCTCCCTGCTGGCCTGACCACCCCTAACTCCCCCCCCTGCTGGCCTAGTTGCCCTTCACTGCCTCCCTCTTCCAGCATGGTCACCCCTCACTGCCCACCCCCTGCCAGCCTGGTCGACCCATGCAGCCTGCTGTTCAGTCATTTGGTTGCCCCTCACTGCCCCCTGCTGGCCTGCTTGTCCCCAACTGTGCTCCCTGCTGCTGGCCTGGTCACCCCCAACTGGCCCCCCCACAAGCCTAGTCGCCCCTCATGGCCCCTCCTGTCAGCCTGGTCACCCCTCACTGCCCCCCTGCTGACCTGGTCACCCCACACAGCCTGCTGTTTGGTCGTTAAGGTGAGGGCATCCTGACCAATTTGCATATTACCCTTTTATTAGTATAGATCCTAACTGGTATCTCCATTCCCAATAGTTCTCTCTCCAATCCATTCTGTAAAATGCTGTCACATGGATATTTTTAAGTAACATACATATCTCTCCTACAAACCAACTTCAGGATCAAGTCCAAACTCTGCTGTTTATAAAACCCTTCACAATCTGGGTTCTGCCTATTTTCCCACAATACCATATCCCAACCACATTGAATTTCTTGCAGTTCTGTAACACTAAGCTCTCTCATGCTTCTGTGCCTTTACAAGTGCTGTTTTTCCTTTGCCTAGTACATTGCCGAATGGTTAGTCCCTACCAGCCTTTCAAGAATCAACTACTCTGATACCCCTTCTAAAAAAAAAGTCTCTTTGAGCCTCCCAAGTATATTTCCTTCCGACAGTGGGCTGGGATGCTCTTCCTCTGTACCCCCCAGAGCATTCTATACCTACCTCTACTATTGTACACATTTTGCTGCATGCTAATGCTAAGTTACTGGACTCTGCCATTAGATTAAGAGATCCTCAAAGGCCATGATCATTTCATTCACTTCTTTCTCCACAGAACAACACAGGGTCTAGCAACTGAAGACATTCAATATTTGTTGGAAAACAAATATTCCTTTTAGAGTTTTTCACTTATTCCTTGTTCACTGGTTTTAGTGAGGTTTTTTGTTTGTTTGTTTTGTTTTGTTTTCATTAGAAAGACAATCAGGTAGTCTGTTTTTTCTTTCATTATTATTATTTTTTAAATCGTCAACCAAGGATGTTTTTATTGCTTTTTAGAGAGAGAGTAAAGGAGAGAAACATCAATGGACCACTTCCCATATACTTCCAGACCAGGGATCGAACCTACAACCCTTTGATGCACAGGACAACACTCCCAACTGACTGAACCACTGGGCCAGGGCCAGGCAGTGTTTTTATCACCAAAATATTCCACAAACTCCACATGCCAGGTTAAGCTAATCAGCCACAATAGCTCCCTAATCCTTTTTAGGGCTGGATATGATCATGGCTTCTACTTTACAGTTTATCCCAATTGTGTACTTACTCTGGATTTCTCCCCAAACTGCATATATTCCAGATAGTATATTTGGTACTAAAACTTCACCTAATTATAAGTCGATAGTTTAGACTTTGTTATACATGTAGACTTTATGTATAATCCACAGTGGTTTTAGATAGTTAAGTACCAAATGAGAAAGAACATGGTCTAAATTCTTCTATTTAAACAAACACAAATAGCTATACAGAGGCTCTTTTTTTGAAATTTCTAGTTTAAAAAAATATATATTTTATTTATTTTAGAGAGGAAAGGAGAGGGAGAGGGAGATAGAAACATCAACGATGAAAGAGAGAACCATTGATTAGCTGCCTCCTGCACACCCCCTACTGAGGATCGAGCCCACAACCCAGGCATGTGCCCTTGGTCAGAATCGAACCTGAGACTCTATCTATTGAGCCAAACCAACTTGGGCTGAAATTTCTAGTTTTTAAAAAACATGGTGTATAATAAAATTAAGATAAAAGAATCCCACACTTGAAACTTCTATGTTCATGTTGACCAATGTCACCCCAATCAATTTAATAAAACGAACAAAAAAATTTTCCACTTACAAAAACAAAAAAACATGGTGTCAAGTACTTCTTGGGGAGCAGATAGGTTGTGAAAAAGGAAAAGGGATAGGAAGTCTTCCTGTGTGCTCTGGCAGCCGAGCTACGATCAGAGAGAGGATGGAAAAAATAGGCCTCACCTGGTGGTAGTTGGAGAGGTTGCTATGCATGTCAGCAATGTCCTCACTGGATACTTCTTTGATGACCAGAGTCCGATCATAGGAGATAAGGAATCGACCATCACTGCCTTCAGTTTCACTTGGGGGACTTCGTGTAAGAGAGACCTGTTAGGGACACACCATAAGCCAGAGACTCTTCTCTTTTTCTTTTTTTAAAATATATTTTTAATGATTTGGGAGAGGGAGAGAGAGATAGAAACATCAATGATGAGAATCATTGATTGGCTGCCTCCTGCATGTCCACTACTGGGGATCGAGTCCACAAACTGGGCATGTGCCCTTGACTGGAATCGAATCTAGGACCCTTCAGTCTACAGGCTGATGCTCTATCCACTGAGCCAAACTAGCTAGGGCTTCCTTGCCTTTTTATACAGAGATGCAAGTCACAGGATAATGGTCAACTGAATATGTCTAAAAGTAGATAAAACCCTGGCATACCAAGTTGAGCAGGGTTTCTTAATCTGGGGTCTATATAGGGACTGAAAGTGGTGCAAAAAATTTTTTTTAATCAGCTGAGGACACACTCTTTTAAAAATTGATTTGGGAGAGAGAGAGAGAAACATTAATGTGAGAGTGAAACATCACTCAGTTGTCCACTGCATGCACCTGAACCAGGGTTCAAACTTGCAACCTAGGTATGTGCTCTAAACAGTAATCAAATCTGCAACCTTTTTCTGTACAGGACGACACTCCAACCAACAGAGCCACACCAGCCAGGGCCAAAAAAATTTGTTGTTGTTAATCCTCACCTGAGGATATTTTTCCATTGACTTTTTTTGGAGAGAGTAGAAGGGAGGAAGAAAGGGAAAGAGAAAGATCAATGTTAGGGAGATAAATAGATTGTTTGCCTCATAGGCCCTGCCTGGGGCCGAGAGCTGAGCCTGCAACTGAGGTACTGTGCCCTTGACCAGAATCAAACCTGAGACCCTTCAATTCTTCAGTTCAAGGGCTCTATCAATTGAGCCAAACCTTCCAGGGCCAAAATTTTTAATATATCTACATTTTCCCCCTCAAGGACAAGGTTTATAGTTTTCAGCAGACTTTTTAAGATGTCTGTGACAACAAAAAGGTAAAGAATCATACTTGCCAAGGGTCTCATTTCTCCAAACATGGCTGTCACAAGGCTTCCCCAATCGTTAAGGAGAAAGGACCAACCTCAGCCCATAATAAACTCTCACCAAGTAATCCTGGTCATCAATGCCAAATCGATCACGGAGGTTCCTGAAGACCTGGGGACAATACTCCTTGAACTTGAAATGACTGGGCAGATTTTCCCTGAAAAGAGGGTTTTCAAGATTAAAAAAACACACCAAAATAACAATATTACCTTACATTTATAGAGGACTTGATAGTTTATGAGTACCTTCCATATATTACCTTATTTGATTTTTGTGAGGTCCTTTAAAGGTATATCATTCCCATTTTATAGAAGGGGAGGCTGTGGTTCAGGATAGCTGGGGGACCTGCTTAAGTCACCTGACTAGTATATGACTTAAGTAGAATTAGGTTCTATTGCCCACCCAAACAACAGCATTTCCCAAATCTCAATCAAGTAAGAAACACCCTAAAATTGGCAATACGTGCCACTTTTTAGAATGGCATCTTCTGCTACTAGGAGGGTTTAGGGAGATTCTTTTTTTCAGGGAGTCCCTATCAGAAACCAATGGTAATGGCATCCAAATGAATTTATCCTATGGAATTGCTAGGCAAGAGAAGAGATAAACTAGTACATACATATAAGGGCGTAGGGAACACTGAAAACTATTTTAATGGTTTCTTTGCACAACACTGAATTTGTGCCCTGGGAAGGAGGTTAGACAATACAACTTGTAATTTGCCTTCTAAATCTAAAACCTTCAACTCATTCAATCTTAACGCTTAGGTTATTTACTCTTTTCTACAAAGATTGATGTGAGAAGGGTGGGGATTCCCACATACCTGTGGAAAAGGTGATTGTTGACCTTGATCTTGGAGCTGGCCTTAAAATCATCTGGCAGCAGCATCACAGGGGGAGGCACCTGGCTGAGCTCATTGATCTGATAAGCCAAAACAAGATCAGGGAGTGAGTGAGTAGGGGTGTAGAGAACTACTCATACACTGTGTCTGGGCAAGAATCAGAAAAGGGCAACTGAGCAAGAGTCAGAAAAGGGCAACTCAAACCTCATTCTTTTAAAAAACACTGCTTATGCATTCACTTGAGAGAGGTGAGAGAGACCGTCTCTGAGCTCTTCTGCTGCCCAACAAGGATTACAGTAAGCAACCCTCACACAGAGCCCCTCACACTCCCGCCCCCGAGAAACTTCATGCTCACAACAGTCATTTTATATCAGGCAAGCCTTGTAAGCAACTCAGGACTATTTTTAAAGCTTGAGAAATTCTAGAGGGGGGAAAAAAAATTATCCTCGGCAGACCCAAGACAAACAGTTCCATGCTCCATTAAAAACAAAATAAAAGGCATTTTAAAAGTACACAAGAGAGTTAATGGGGACTGAGGGGTCAACAGCAACAAGAACAAAGATGTCCATATCCTGCAAGAGGCATCTCCTTACAAAGAGGACCAGTGCTTCCAGACCATTCTGACCGAGTTCTCTGCAGTAGGTCCCACCTGCCTAGGTGTCAAGTAACAGAAAAACAGCTGATTTAAGGGCGAAAGTCAAGCCGACCCACAATCAAAGGATGGAAACATCACATGCTTCCTCAGCCTCCAAAATCAGCAGTCTGCTGGTTCAGGGTGGAAAGGGGGTTCCTGAGAAGTGCCTTCTCTCCAGTGCTGCCACAGTATCTTTCACCCACCTGTAACAGTGTATTTATCATAAGCCTAATCGCTAGTTTATGTAAACTCCTCATTCGGATTGTGAGCTCTTCCAGCACAAGGTGCCTGCATCTCTCAGCTGCCTAGCTAGCAAAACGTTGGGCACACAGTGGTCTTTCAGTGTTTATTAAACCAACAGAGGGATGCCTTGCCTCTCCTTACTTGAGCATTTGACAGAGGGTATGAAGTGCAGTCTAATCTAAATCCCATACACTACCGTGAAACCCAAATCCTCTTATTCTTGGTAGAAAAGGAGGACAGATCACAGTCCTGTAGGAGGAAAAGAAAAAAAAAAAAGCCAGTTGAGATTCCCAGCCTAAAATTCAGCTATAGTTCTTCATGTCCCCTCTGCCATCGGCTGTAACACAGGCTGAGTCATCACTAAGACATATGTTCAAAGAATTTCTCCATTCCAAACACTTGAAGTAAATGTGTGTTGTTTGGAGGGTAGCACGCTGAGGCTAACGTATATATATACCTAGGGAAGCTGAGGCAGGTCTTATGTGTAATTTCCTCAATTCTTTTTTTTTAAATATATTTTATTGATATTTTACAGAGAGGAAGAGAGAGGGATAGAGAGTTAGAAACATCGATGAGAGAGAATCATCGATTAGCTGCCTCTTGCACACCCCCTACCGGGTATGTGCTCACAACCAAGGTACATGCCCTTGACCGGAATGGAACCTGGGACCTTTCAGTCCGCAGACCAATGCTCTATCCACTGAGCCAAACCGGTCTCGGCTAATTCCCTCAATTCTTACTAAATGAAAACCCTTCTTATTAAGCTTCCCAAAGCGATGGATGAGCCACCTGGAAAGTACACCTGAGAGGGGGCCCTACCTCCATCAGTCTTGCCCAGACCAAGAGCCTTAGACTGATTAGTCGTTACCACCCTGCGAGCTGGGAGCAGTCCACGGAGCCACAGATGCAAAAGGGAGCTGACAGACCCCAGACAACATTTTAAACCACAAATTAAGAATGTGACAAAAACTGTATTCTTCCTCAAGCCCTTCCACATCCACATCCCTGCCGTAACGATAACAATTCAAGGAAGTTGGTTTATAAAACACTGCCTGTCACATTCAAGGTCACTGAATCTCTCCCACTCCAGGCCCAAGGCAAGGGTGCCATGGCCCTGATTCCTTCTCCTGAGGTTAGCCTCGGGAAAGGAGCAGCACTGGCCTCCTGGGCCTCCTTCCGATTCCCAGGCACACCCTCTACAGCAGTTTCTAAAGTTCACCACCAGTGTCCCCAGCACCTGAGCTCTTCAGCCCGCTCTTGAGTCCAAGAGGACCCCCTTCACACCAAACACCATCACTCCAGCCAATAAGGGGAATGCAGTTAAGACCACAGGCTGAGTGAGCGCAACCACCAGGCTCAGGGAGGGTAGCTTCTCTGCAGTGCTGTACCTCAGAAGGGAAAGGAGGGGACAGCAGGATTAGGAGGTCCGGGAAGCCCGGAGCTTCCCTCAAAGCCAAGCTTCCAAAGTCAAGGACGGCAGCTGGAAAGTAAGGTGGAAAGGAAAGTGAACGATCCCCCTGACCCAGCTCCCCTCCCTGCTCCCCTTCCACACACTCTGGGGAGACCTCGCCGCCACCAGCCGGGGAGAGCCACTCCCCCTAAATCCTCCCGGCCGCAGCCGGGGCCGGCCGGTCTCCGCAGCCCGGGGCTGCGGCTGGATCCGGCGGGGAGGCCGGGAGCTGGATTCCGGGCGGGGAAGGCGGAACCAGCGTGACTGGGTCAAGGGCGGAGAGGAAGACAAAGTCTACAGTGAAGAGGAAAGTCTGGAGCGAGAAGACACAGCTGGATGCTGGTGAGCAGAGAGCGGGGCAGCCCGGAGCGGAAAGTGGCGGCTCGAGGGGCCCCGGAGACGGGAGCCCGGAGTCAGACACACGCCCCGAGGCGCAGGGGCTTGAGGGGTTCGGACGCGGCTACCGGGGGGCCGGGGCCGGGTCTCACCGAGTGGGCTACGCCCCACAGGAACACGCCCACCAGTGGGTCCGCCGCCCGGAACACCTTCACCTTCTGCTGCACGAAGTGCTTCTTCTTGGTTTTGGAGGCGAAGCCGAAGCCCTGGCCGGGGGCCGCTGTACTCGCCGGTACGGTGGCCGGCGGGGCCGAGGAGGACGCCATGGCCTCCCGCGTACCCGACCCAGGGGAAGCCGGAGCCAAGCCGGCCGCGTTTGGGCTCCCGACCCCGGAAGCCGTGCTCACCTGAGCCGCCGTCACGTGACCGGAGGCGGGCCCGCGGGCGGGTGGGCGGGCGGGCCGGGCTTGGCCCCGCCCCCTGGCCCCGCGGGGCCCCGCGCGCCGCGGTGGACGGACTCACCTGGCGCTGGGTCGGCGCGCGGGGCCCGCGAGCCCTGGGCAGGTCATCGAGGCCGCGGGGGTGCGGCCTGGGCTGGCCTGCTCACTCTTTGGTCGGGAGCTGCTTTGCTGGAAAGTCGCCGCCTTCTGGTTTTGCCCAGTTTCCAGGATTAACCTCCTCCCCGCTGAGGGTAACCCCAAAGCATTTAACGAAATAGAACCCTTCAGTGGTGTTAAGGTATTAAACGTGCCTGTGTTTGGAAGGGTCGCTCGGCATGGTTCTGGAGGGTGCCTGGAGTACTGCCAGAGTCTAGGCACGAGATGATGAACGAACTCAGTGGCTTAGTTATGATGGAAGGAAGGGATGGCATCTAAAGGTCTAGTTTGATGTCAATTTGGAAAACTCTTAGTGATGTGGGGAGTTTGAGGGGAAGGGAGACATTGAGAATGAATCCCAGGCTCCTGGCTGAGGTGGAGAGAGATGGTGGTGACATGAAAAGGTGAAGTTTAGGCAAAAAGAGTTCAGTTTGGAACATGGTAAGGGTACCTGAGGTCAATTGGACATACAGGCCCACAGTTCAACACAACGGCCTGTGCCTGGGATGCAGATTTTATTGTTGTGGAATCTGTGGGCGTGGATGAGAACTCTCAGAGAGAGCAAGGAAAGGACCAAAGGCTGGACCTTGGTGTACACCAGTACTTAAGAAGCCATTGTGGCTGGGTGACCGAGGATCCATGCACCAGGAAGTCATCGGTTCAATTCCCAGTCAGGGCACATGCCTGGGTTTCAGGCTTCATGGCAGGGGTGGGAGGGGTGGGGGGGATGAGGAGCGCAGATGTTTGTTTCTATCTTTCCCTCTCCCTTCCTCTCTAAAAATAAAAAACAAACAAACATTTTTAAAAAGTCTTAAAAAAAAAAAAGACTTCTGGGAAAAGGCTGAGAAGGGGTGGCCAGAGAAGTAAAGGAGCCAGGAGAGAGAGCAGGGGCACAGAAGCCAAGAGTGGCGTTTCAAGAAGGATTGAGTGAAGAGCAGTGTCAGATGTTTCAGAGAGGTGAAGCAAGACAAGGATGGAGAAGCAAGTGCCAATTGTACTTGGTAACTAGTGACCTTTGGAGCAATTTCACCAGAACAAGAGCCAGATCAAGGTGGGGTGAAGAAGGAGTGGGAGGAAAGGAAGTGGGGACAGAAGGCTGGGACTTTTTTTTTTTTTTTGGTATTAAGAAAACAAGATAGGGCGACTTTTAAAGAGAAGTACACAGTAAAGAGGGACTTTTAAGGGAGACCTTAGAAGGAAAAGGGAAGCCCTGGCTGGTATAGCTCAGTTGGCTGGGTATTGTCCCATGCACCAAAAGGTTGCTCCTTGAATTCCCTGTCAGGGCACATGCCTGGGTTCTGGGCTTGATCCCCAGTAGGGGACATGCAGGAAGCAGCCAATGGATGCTCTCACATTGATGTTTCTTCTCCTGTCCTCTCTCTCTAAAAATCAATAAAAAATATTTTGAAATAAAAACTCAAAAACAAAACAAAAAAATCAAGTGAAGAAATCATTGAGACAGAAGTTAACAAAGAAGATGCAGACTGCCAAAGTCTGCATCACTTTTAGTTATCTTATTCTATATAATAAAAGCCTAATATGCTACGTTAAGTGTCCGACCTTTCATTCTACCAGACGCTATGATGTGCACTGACCACCAGGGGGCAGATGCTCCAACCAATAGGTCAGCTTGCTGCTGGGGTCTGGTCTGGCTGATTGGGACTGGTCAAGAGGGGCCAGACATGCCCTGGAGCCCTTCTGTGTTCCATCGTGGGCTAGCCAATCTCCCACAGTCCCTCCCTGGCCAGCCCCCGATTGCCCTGATGAACTGGGTGAGACAAGCAGGACATGCCCTGGAGCCCTCCCATGGTTCCTCCCTGGTGGGATCCCTCAGCCTAGCCTGTGCTACCCAGGACCCCTTGGGGGATGTTGGAGAGCCAGGTTTGCCCATTCCCCGCAGGCCAGGCTGAGGGACCCCACTGGTGCACGAATCTGTGCACCAGGCCTCTAGTTTTATATATTAAGCTCTGAGTATCTCAAGAATGAAAGATCTAGAAGGAACTTGCTTTAACCTAGAGAAGGGAGATTTATCACTTGACAAAAGGGAGAGAGAGCCAGGACCGGTTTGGCTCAGTGGATAGAGCGTCGGCCTGTGGACTGAAAGGTCCTGGGTTTGATTCCGGTTAAGGGCATGTACCTTGGTTGCGGGCACATCCCCAGTGGGGTGTGTGCAAGAGGCAGCTGGTCGGTGTTTCTCTCTCATCGATGTTTCTAACTCTCTGTCCCTCTCAATTCCTCTCTGTGTAAAATCAATAAAATATATTAAAAAAAAAAAAAAGGGAGAGAGAAAGGAAAGGATCTGTGCAGATATATGTAAGAAGGTGTGTGTATGGGTGGGGGTGAAGAAGTTCATGTTCATGTTCAATAACCTTAAATTTCCCCTTTTTAAAAAAAATGTTTTTATTGATATTTTAGGGGGAGAGATAGAAACATCAAACAGAAACATCAGCATCAGTTGGCTGCCTTTTGCACACCCCCTGCTGGAAATCGAGCCCACAACCCGGGCATGTGCCCTGACCAGGAATCAAACCCTGACCTCCTGGTTCATGGGTGGATGCTCAACCACTGAGCCACACTGGCCAAGCTAAAAGTTCCCTTTAAGGCAGACAGAGTTGTTGCTTCTGAGAGAAGGCATGAAGGGGTCTTGAGGAGTAAGGGTTTAGACTAGTTGCCCTGGGGGTAGGAGAGGAAACTGTGAGGATACACAAAAGGAAGGTTAAGCGGCATGGAAGGTCCAGGGAGGTTTGTAGGCTTTTTGTTTTTAGCTGCCCCAGTGTTTTCGTTGTGCAGTTGTCTCCATTCATCTCAGCAGCCTTGAGGCAGGAGTAGAGAAGACGGGCAGGGGTGTGCTCTAAAACAGGGGTAAGGAGGGTGATTGTGATAGATGGCCACGGGACAAAAGAACGGAGCTGTTTGCAAGCAGGATAGAGACACACTGGAAAGGAACAGAATTGATGCTGGGACTGAGGAGATGGTCTGGGGTGGAAATGAGAACAGGATATTATTTTTTTGTTAAAAATTTCCAACAGCCTCCTGGCCAGTGTGGCTCAGTTGGTTGGGCATCGTCCCCTGTACCAGAAGGTTGTTAGTTCAGTTCCTGGTCAGGGCAAATGTCCTGTTGTGGGCTCGATCCCCAGTATAGGGCATGTAGGAGGCAGCTGATCAATGATGTTTCTCTCTCTCCCTTCCTCTCTCTGAAGTTAAAAAAAAAAAAAATTACCAGCGATCTAGAAAGATGCCCACCAATAGTGGAATAGTGGAATAAATTATGCAGGGGTCCTCAAACTTTTTAAAGTGGGGGCCAGATCACGGTCCCTCAGAGAGCTGGAGGGCCGGACTATATGAACTACTAATTCCTACTGTAACACCTTGGCTGCGCTCACTGCCCAAAAAACCTGGCGGGCTGGATCAGACTCCTCTGTGGGCCGCATGTGGCCCGCGGGCCGTAGTTTGAAGACGCCTGAATTATAGGATAAATAGCGCTGGCCAATGTGCTCAGCGGTTAGAGCAGCGACTTTAGCACTGAAGGGTCACAGGTTTGATTCCCAGACAAGGGCACATACTTGAGTTGCAGGTTCAATCCCGAGCCTTGAATAGGGCGTGTGCTGGAGGCAACCAATTGATGTGTCTTTCACATTGATGTTTTTCTCTCTCCCCGTGCCCCGCCCCCCCACCTTTCTCTAAAAATCAATGAAAAAATATCCTCATGTGAGGATTAACAACAACAAATTATATGGTAAAGATGTGTGTGTGTGTGTGTGTGTGTGTGTGTGTGTATATATATATATATATATATATATATATATATATATATATAAATGCTTTAATAAGGTAAATCTACGTATATTGACATGAAACGATTCCCAGGATATATTGTCAAGTGGGAGGCAAACACTCTGAGTGTAAATATATAGAAAAACATCTGAAGGACATATACCACACTGTCAAATGCCATAATATGCAAGGAAAGGAGAGACAGGGGAGCGAAAAGATTTACACCACCATACAGCCATCATTGAATTTATTTTATTTTAAAGGTATCTATGTACATCAAACAAATACACACTGGGGTTTGTGCATTTGGTTTGTCTTCCACACTGGCATGCAACGTTTGGCAGGTGTGAGTGGGCAGGCCAGGGGCCCCGGTGGCAGCCCGGGCTCTCTGGAAGGGTGCGGTGAGTGTCGGGGGCGGAGGAAGATGTGGAGTGAGCCTCTGGCGAAGGCTTTGCGTGTGTGTTGTTTCTGGTTCATGTAAGTGAATTATATTTCTCTTACATCTTGCTAAAGAGAAGGCTGCTTCCTCTGTCACCTCTCTCTGCAACTGCCCTACACCTTCACGTTCTCCTACGTGTTTTAAAAGAATCATTTGGTGGCAAGATTATATAAAACCCACTGGATTCTTAAGTGCCTTTCTGACACATATGAGCACAAGTCTACAGGTGCACAGGTGTCTTCTTCCTCCCCAACGGGGTCTCGGAGAGAGGATGGCTCATCCACCACCTTTTCCCTCTTTGCGATGAGTTGCAAGGTTAGGACAGGGAAGTCAGATTGAACTCCATTCCAGACAGAGCAGTGGTTTTCAAACTACTCTACAGAACTCTCAAAGTTTCTTAGGGCTGTTCAAGGACTCCTCAGCGAGTGAACCATTTTCTACCAAACAAAGAAAATGCAAACTGCCCAGGTCTGCATCACTTTTAATAATTTTTCCTATTAGGGTTCTATGTAAGATTTGTTTGGAAAAACGTTTGAATATCACTGCATTGGATTTATTCCACACCCCTCTGGCATTTCTCCCCTTCCCGCTGCATTGCTCCTGAATTGCTGA